ATCAGTGAGTGTAAGGAGCAGGATTGGAAGCCCTCCCCATTTCAGGGACTCCAGGAGACAGGGAGCTTCAACACTGCCAGGCCTCCCCACTCCAGGGCTGTCAGCAGGGATCGTGACTCCTTGGCTGGCCTCTGGTCACAGAGGTCACCATGAGCATTGAGGCTGTGTCACCACACAAGGGCCACTCAGCTGCTGTGTCCCCTGCCCCAGTGGCAGCACGACACAGGGCTGGAGGACTGGGACAAGGCATCCATCCCCCCTATGCTGTGCCCCTGGACAGGGTGCCGTGCCCCCCATGTCCTATCACCCACTGTCAGGTCCCCTGGTGTCACCCTACAGTTCTGGTTACCCTGCCACCACCCCACAGCACCAGGTGCCCTGGTGCCACCACATTCCCTGCAGTACCAAGTCCCCATTTCTCCCGCCTCCTCTGGAGGTATGACCTACCCCAGCATTGTTGGGGTCTTCTCAGGTGCCCCAATGCCCAGTCAGAGGTCATTGTGAGGGTGGGGCCATGGAGAACTCTCCAAGTAGCAGAGGGGGCTGAATGAGAATCCACTATGGGGGGGCTGTATGGAAAACCCTGCTAGGGTGGGTGAAGGGATCAGGGGTTCCCAGACTCAAAGAAGTCTGTGGGAGAATCCCAGCTGGTAGGATGGGGGGGCACAAAGAGACACCCCCAAACGAGGGTAGCATAAGGGGTCTCTGTGGGAAGTCCTAACACACAATTGGGGTCTCCATAGCAGGAACACTAGTGGAGAGGTGATGTGGGTGCAAGAGGAACCCCAGCACAGCACCAGTATGTGGAACTCCAGATTGGAGGGACAAGGAGCAGGACCCTTAGGAGGAACCTCAGCTGTGGGGGACATCAAGGGGTTCTCTACGGATGACTGGCAGGGGGCTGGAGGGACACCCAGCACAGGGGGTGGTACTGTGGAGGGGGATTGCAGGGCCGCCTGGCTGCCCAGTCCCGCACCACTGTCGGCTGCTATTTTGGTGAGCAAAGACAGGGAGGGGGGGCCAGAGAGCACCGGGCTTGGGTACAAAGAGCCTTTATGCGGGAGCTATGGGACTCCCCGGTCGCTCTGACGCACAGCACCCTGCCACAACCCTGTCAGCACAGAGGGCACCCCATATCCCCACTGCTCTGTGGCACACAGAGGGGCACCTACCACCCTACTTCACCAAGAGCAGGGTGTGGGCACCCTGGCAAGGGGGATACCATGTGCCCACTGGCACCATCCTGGCACTGGTGTCCCCCATGAACTGGTGGTGAGCCAGGATGGAAGCTCCAAGCCCCCATGCTCCTGTGGGACACCACACCAGGACTGTCCCCACTAGCACTGCTCACCAGCCAGTGATGTCAGCACGCCCTGGGGTGCCACTGCTGTATGCTACCACTGTGAGTTCCAGTGATGCCCCAATATGCAACAGTGAGGCCACAAGTGTGACGCCCTGGTGTGCCATGGTGAGACACCCCAGTGTGCCACAGCAAGGGCACAGTGAGATGTCCTGGTGTGCCACATCCAGCCTGGTGAGTCCATGGCACACCAGTGGGAGGGTTAAAGGAAGCCGATGCTGCCAGGATCCCGCTGCAGTTCCCTTTCCTCCTCCTGATTCTGCAGCTATATTTAGGACCCCAGCAATAGCTGGGGCCAATGGCTCCACAGCCCTGTCCACCCACTCACAGGCAATGGGGGTGCCTGGTGAGATCACAGCACCAGGGACTCCCAATAGCTCTTGTTGGAGTGCAGCCTCCCAACCTGGCATCCCCATGACGGGCTTTGCCATGCTGCGTGGTCCAATCCCACAGGCCAGCTACGTGGCACCCATGGCCTCCTCACCAAGCAGTAACAGACATCAATGACAGGCACACCTTATCCAGGCACCCGTACCACAATGCTGTCTGTAGCCCCGTCACCCACACTGATGCCACAATGCCTCCAGCCATATGGCACCATTAGGTGCTGGAATTGCATGATCTCCCAGTGCTGTGCCTGGTGCTGCTGGCTGGCCCAGCTCTGTGGTGGGGAGCCAGTGCCCAGAGCCACACTGTGCCCACATGGCTGGGAAACGGCATTTGCCACCGTCCACGGGGAAGGACAACCATGCCACCATGAAGGCTGCATGCCTGGCAACCGCATTTGACACCAGCACAGAGCAACCCCAGGCCAGGGCAGGCCAGCTCACAGTGCACTCCCAATTCTCCCACAGGCTCTCAGGGCACAGAAAAGCTTTGAGTTCAAGTGCCCTCACCGCCACTCCACAACCACATCAAGGTCCAGGTGCTGGCACAGGTAGCCAGCCTCGAGCAGAGCTGGTGGCATGCCCCAGGAGCATCCCAGCACAACAAGGTGCCAGAAGCTCCAGGTATGGAGGGGTACTGGGGTACACCACTGGGCAAAGGCACTTCAGGACCCCCAGGGCTGTCAGCACTCACCTGTGATCTGGCACAAGCTGGGAGCCATGGAGTTCCATGGCACAACTCAAGGGCACAGAGCTGTCCCCCCTTCCCAGGTTGGGGACCCCCAGACATGAGGGCAGGAGCTGGGGACCCCCAGTGCCATGGGTAGGCTCAGGGACCCTGAGAGTGTGTGGTAGGTGCCAGGCCCTCCATCTCACAGACCCCCAGGGTAGCGGGGGGTTGAGGGGGTGACACAGTCCTCCTCGAGCCAGCCCAATATCCCCCCACTGCCCAGAAATTCCCAGCCCCTCCAGAGTCTGTTGGTGTCTGGTCTCCTGGGACACCCAGATCACAGCAGGTGCCATTCCCCTGGTGCCTTGAGTCCCAGAAGTGCCAGTGTCCCTCTGAAACCCCAGGTCTCCCCGTGTCTGTGCCCGCAGCACCCACTGACCAGAGCTGTCCCAGCCTCCCTGTGCCCAAATTCCTAGCAGCCCCCACAGTACTGTCGACCCCCGTGCTCACTGTATCACTGTATCCCTCAGGTGACTTTCCCTCTCTGTCTGCTGCCCTCTTGGTGTTCCCCTCCACCCCCACCAATGCTCCCTGAGTGCTCCCCTGGATCCCTTCCAGCGATCCCCACTGCTTCCCCGGCCCGTGCTTCCTTGGCGCCCCCCGTCCCGCCCTCGGTGCCTCTCCCACTGTTCTTCCCGGTCCTCTGCCAGTACTTCCTTGGACACCGGGCCGGTGTACCACAGTGCTCCCCTGAATCCCTGCAGTGACCCCACCATGACGCCTCAGTGCTCTCCCTGGTACCTCGCTGGCGCTCCCCCAAATCCTCCCCTCTGCTCGCCCAGGACCCACCCCCGGTTGCCCTCCCGACCCCCTGCTCTCCTCGGACCATCCCCGAGGCCCCTCTAGTGCCGCCCTGAACACTCCACTCCTACGTCCGAATCTCCCCCGGTACCCCCTCCCCGTTTCTCCCGGGATCCCCCCACAGCTCCGGCGGTACCTCGCCGGTGGCCCCCTCAAGCTCCCCCCTGCAGCTCTCCCATGGTCCCCCCCGGTCCTCCCGCCGACACCCTGCCCGTGCCTCCGCAGCTCCCCCGGCCCCGCGCCGGTCCCCTCCCGGTGCACCGCCTCCAGCCACCCCCGATGGCCGATCCCAGATCTCCCCTCATGGCCCGCCGGTTCCGCGTGGGTGTCCCCCCGGCACCCCCCCGCCTGTACCCCACTCACAGCAGGCAGAGCGCGTAGGCCCCCGCCACGCTTTCGCTGTCCCGCACCAGGAAGCTGCCGTCCCGCCCGGCCCGCGCCAGCTGCTCCTCGGCCGCCGCCCGGCTCAGGTCCCGGTGGTACCAGGGGGGCACCGGCACCGGGGCCGCTCCTCCCGCGCCCCCCGCACCCGCCATGCTCCGCCGCCGGGGCCGCGCCGCGGGGCCGCGCTCTGAGGGGGAGGGGGAGCCGAGGGGCGGGCACCGGGGCGGAGAAAGGTGGGGACGGGGACATCCCGGGGACGGGCGGGGGCTTCGGGGGTTGGGGACGCCGTGGGCCCCAGAGGGACACCGATGAGGTACCCAGGGGCCCACGGGGAGAGATCCGGGGGTGGCCACCGTGAGAGGCGATCACGGAATGGAACCCGCAGGAGTCGAGAGGGGCACCGGAGGGGACCCGCGGGGATCCTGGGGGAGCAGCAGCGGGGAGCTTGGGGGAGCACCAGTGAGGTAACGGGGGAGCATTGGTGGGATCCTGGGGGGCGCACCTGAGAGGCACCGGGACAGATCAGGGGGGCATCGGGTGTCTGATCGAGGGGCAGCGGCACCGAGGGGCGGAGAGCACCGGGTAGCAGGTAGCAGCAGTGGGGAGCACCGGGAGGATGAAGAGCACCGGGGCGAGGAGCACCTGGGAGGGGGAAAGCACTTGGAGAGATAGGGGCACCAGGGGACACCCAGGGGCATACCGAAGGGAGGAGCGGGGGCACGGTGGTATGAAGGCACCGGCAGTGTGAAGGTACCGGGGAGCCGGGCACCGGGGAAAGGGGGGCCGCGGTGGGGCAGGGCTGGAGCCGGGGGCTGAAGAAGTGGGAGGCGCGACCCGGTTTCGCCACCAAAACCGGGGACATCTCCATGGGCCAGGGATCGGGACGGTGCCACCCCACAGCTGGAAACACAGAGCATGTGGGGGGAAAAGAGACAACTGGGGTGGGCTCTGGGCCGGCGGAACTCCCTTGATAACCACGCTCCCACCTCAGGGTCCCAGGGGTATCCTCCCCTTTTTCCCCATAATTTTCCCAGTCTCATCCTGTGCACCCCAGAGTGTCAGTGACACCCGGGGCCCTGGAGCTGTGTCAGGTGCTAGGACACATTCAGCGATCCCATCCTCCTGGGCCCCAGCGGCAGGCAGCCCTGTACCTTGTGCTTTGCCCAGTACAGTGGTTTGGGGGAGGCAGTGCTGGGTAGCCAGGTTGATCGGTACAAATGAATAGGAGTGATGTCTGCTTCATCTCCCCAACAGAAGCAGGATGGCACAAGCAGACACCACTAGGTCCCTCAACCATCCTACTGCCCCCCCAACCATCACACAACACCCCAAGACCAAGCAGGGCAGGAGCATTTATTCATGACCCACACGCCTCGAGTGGGGACACAGCTTGGGGACATCCCATGAGGAGGCACAAGGCAGCCTGTGGACCCCCCCAACCATCTGCTGCCTGCTCCTGCTCAGAGCAGGGCCAGTAGGGTGAGGGGCAGCAGGGACAGCAGGATAGAGAGCAGGGAGTTTGGGGGAGCATCGCCATGGGCATAATACTGGGCGACGGCAACATTGGGGTTCCCCTGCATGGGATCGAACCACATCTGGATGCAGTGACCGCTGCCACGGTGGTGGGATGTGTAGCGGTAGGAGCCAGACCAGACCTGCTCGCAGAGTGCAGCCGCCGTGGGGAACACAAACTTGAACTTCTGGCACATGGCACCCTTGGGACACTGGTTGGTGCCTGGGGGTGGGCAGGGGGTGAAGAGGATGAAGGGCTCTGGGAAATGGGTGTGGTTCCCCTGTGCATGGGGTGCAGATGGGTCACACTGGTATTGCTAGGGAAGAGAGAGTTGACCTCAAGGCGGCACAGGGTCTCACACCGCATTACCCCATACCCCATGAGGACCCTCACACCCCCTGACCCATTCACATGCACAGGGGACTCCCTCCTGGCTGCCACTCCCACCCCACGGGGACGCTCACACCCCCGAACCCACTCACAGCCACCAGGGAGGGTGGACACAACCTCCCCTGCAGCAAGATGGAGGGTGACTGGAGACCCACAGGAGGGTGAAGGCATGATGGGGGGTGGCCTGCAACCCCCACTCACCTGTAGTCCAGTTCCAGCCCTTGTGCCAATTGACCTTGCAGGTGACAGCATCCTGGCAATCTTCCCACCACTGCTCACAGTCCTCTTGGCACAGTGGCACATCCTGGATCCGCTCCTTCCGCCAGCTGGTGTCTGCCTGCAGGGCCCCCAGTTTTCCCCCCAGTTCACCCCTGGCATCCTGGTGGGTGGGTGAGGGTGGGGTCTGCACCTACCTGGTCGATCCATGGCCCCAGGTTAGGGGAACACTCATAGAGACACGTGTCCTGGATGAAGTGGCGCTTGCACTTCTCTGGCATGGCCCCACAGTGGTCCCAGTTGAAGTTGTACAGGTAGGACTGGTCCCGGTGAGCTTCCAAACTGGTGTTGGCAGTGCAACAGGCATTGTCCTTCCAGAGGACACACTGCACCAGGGCAGCCGGGGCTCAGCTGGGACCCATCAGGACCCACCAGGCCTCAGATGGGACCTGCTGCAGGTCCAGGAAAAGCACCAGTGCCCATGGGTGGGTGACACTGGCTGATGGAATTCATGTTGGGGCACAGAGCCCCCCAGCCTCCATCCTGGTGACCCACAGCAAGTGACCAGTGGGTGCTGGTGCAGTGGATGAGGACCGTACCTGTCCGTAGAGCTGCCCCTCAGGGCCAGGCTCTGTTTTATGGTGCTTGGCATCCATGCAGACATTGAGCAGCGAGTCCTGTGTCACCCTCACTGCTGTGGCAGCAGCTGGCCAGGCCACCAGCAGAGCCAACACCGCTGCCATCGCTCTGCCAGGGCGACAGCAGGTCAGGACAGCAGCACTGAGAGACGCAGTGACAGCAGGGACAAAGTCCCCCACTGTGCATGTGGAAGCACAGCAGCACATGGTCACTGCCACGACCACCGACAACAGGGTCAGGGATCTTACCTGGGGGTGCCAGGGGCCCGGGGCTCTTACCTGGGGGGCAGCTGGGCTCCAGGTGCCGTGGGACGAGCACAGCTCATCTCAAAGGTCGTGGTGCAGCACAACCCGTGGCCACTGATCACGGGACGCGGGAATGCAGCGGATTGGGCAGCACTGAGGGCGCGGAGGAGACAGTGCACCCCGCCCTGGCACCCCACTGTGTTCTGGATTGACACTCGTGCCCATCCTGGTCCTCATCAGCCCCACATGCAGCTGGGATTCATCTTCCTGGCGCCAGGCTGGGGCCAGCATCAGCCAAAATCCGCTTACGGCTGTTTTTCTTTCCCTCCTGTGGGAGGTGGCCTGACTCGCTGACACCAGCACAAGGGGCAGTACCTGGCCCCCCAACACCACAGGGTCCCTGTGAGTGACTGGGGGGGAACACCACAGTGGGTAAGAGATGCTGCTGGCAGGGACAGGTACCCCCCGCGGGGTCACAGATGGCCACAGCGTATAGGCAAGAACTCCTCATTGAATTGCAGGTACTCCAGGGGATCGCAGATGCCCCATGGAGCGGGGAGCAGATACCCTGCGGGAGAGCTGTCACCTGTGGCTCGGGAGGGACAGAAACGCTCCAGAGTGAGACATGCCTCGGGGCGGGGGAACAGGGAGGGAAGATACCCTGTAAGGGACAGATACTTTCAAGGTCACAGGTGATGGGGGGGCAGACACGCCCCGGGGATGCCCTGAGGGGATGGGAAGTTATCCCCCTCACAGATGACAGATACCCCCACCCATGCATGACATTTGCCCCCAAAGGAGCAGACACCCCATCAGGATCACAAATACCTCCTCAGTGGGGTCACTGGTACCTGTGGGGCTCACATACCCGCCATTAGTCACAAATACCCCAAGGGAGGCACACATCTTCCGCGGGGATCACAAACACCCCCTGACTGGGGTCGCACATAACTCCGGGCCGCTCACGTACGCGCGGGCCGCCACTGCGGCCCCAGACTCGGGCGCGCGGGGGGGGCCCAGCCCATCGCCTGTCAATCATGCGGCACCCCGCCTCCAGAGGCGCCCTAGGCCACGGACCATTAATTATCCCCCTTGTGGGCCTGGCCCAGTCAGGCATCACCGCACTCCCTCTGCGCATGCTCCGTGCGCCGTAACTGGTTCCGGGTTGGACTCCACTTCCGGCTGGGCGGTGGCGCCGGCCTGGCGCTGCTCCCGCCGCTCCCGCCATGTCCACGCTGTTCCCCTCACTCCTGCCCCGCCTCACCGAGTCCCTCTGGTTCAACCTCGACCGGCCGTGCGTTGACGAGACCGAGCTGCAGCAGCAGGAGCAGCAGCACCAGGCCTGGGTGGGCACCGGGGCTGGGGGAGAGTGAGGCCGCGGGGCCGGGTGTCAGGAGGCCGGGAACGGGTTCGGCGCTGGGGAAGCGGCCCCTGCTCCTTCAGCGGGCACGGGCGCGGCGCTCGTTGCGGCCCCGAGACAGTGCCCGGGATGGGGGTGTCCCGGACACGGGGCTCCCCCGCTGGGTCGCTCCCCCCGGGTGCTCACCGACTGTGCCCGTGTTTCAGCGTCTTGTGCCGGTGTTGCCGGCTCGGGCATCGCTACTCTCGTGTCCGTCATCCGTGTGTCACACTGGCTCGGTGCGGGCTGTTACCGGAGCTCCCCGTTTACTGTGTGGGGGTTAATTACTAAGATGCTGAACCGAGGCTCCTGCACTCGCTCCCAATTAATTCATTAACTAGTCTCCCGAGGGAGGCGAGGAGTGATTTCTGATCCTGATAACTGACAAGTGTTTGTGCTGTGAGCGTGGTTTGGTGCTGCAGTGCCCCTGAGTATGGGGGGAAGAACATCTATTTGATTAAAGTTTAAAAAAAAATCAGTAATTAAGTTTTTGTAATTAAATAATAAAGTTTAAATCAATTAAAACCCCAGCACGTAGAAGAGGTTCCAAGTCCCTCTGGGTGGGAGGTGCTGACGTATTTTAATTGAGCTTTAATTATCTGCTGTGGTTGTGTTTGTCTGGCTGATCAGATGTCCCAGATTTGGTTATTTTTTGATAAAGAAATACATAAGCTTTGTGTTTGGGCTTCTAATGCCACCCATGGGGACACCTCGAACCCTCTCAGCACCAGAGGGTCATTGGGATCACCCTGCTTGGTGCCAGGGTGTTCAGGCAGGGTGTTAAAGCTGCTCTTCCCTTCTTGGCTGCGGGATGCCAGGGAGGCAGCAGGACTGGGGCTGGAAATAAGCATGGTCAGTAAGTGACACAAGGGCCAGAAGGGCCTCTTTGCTGGGGTGTCGTGGAGCTGTTGGAGTGCTTACCTACCTCTCTCCCTTCCCCAGCTCCAGAGCATTGCTGAGAAGGACAACAACTTGGTGCCCATAGGAAAGCCAGCGTCCGAGGTGGGTGTGTGGACAGGAAGTGGGGGGTTGCCACAGGGCTTGAGGGGCAGATCGGGTTGCTGGAGCTGTTGTGTCCACAGCACTATGATGAGGAGGAGGAGGAGGATGATGAAGATGATGAAGACAGCGAAGAGGACTCAGAAGATGATGAGGACATGCAGGATATGGATGAGATGAATGATTATAATGAGTCTCCTGATGATGGGGAGATCAATGAGGTAAATAGTGTGAGACCCCAAAGCAGGGGATGTGGAGTGTGTGGGACCCTGAGCATGAGCTCCAGGGGCTGTCTTCTCTCCTTCACGCCCTCTATTAAGTTCTTGCTCTGGAGGAGATCTCAGACCTCTTTCTTTCCCAGGTGGACATGGAAGGGACAGAGCAGGACCAGGACCAGTGGATGATCTGATTCTGCCACAGCCACACCAAGCCAGAGGCTGGGGGAGAGCCTTTGCCCCCCACGGCTCTGGGGCACAATTCAGTGAAGCTCCTCCTGCCACGGGTGCTGTGTGGGGCAGGAAGTTCAGAGGGAAACCGCCCCCCCCCGCCCCCAAGAGGAGCCAGAGGGGAGACTGCCACCTGGCACATTGGAACTGACACATCTTTTCTAATAAACTTGGTTTTCAAGAAAACAAGCCCAAATCTGGTGTCTGAGGCCACCAGGGCAGGCAGGGGGTACCACCCAGGCAAGTGCAGGGCTGTTCCCCACCATCCACTGGTGTGCCTGGCAGACCTCCCTGTGCAGTGCAGGCAGGAGCACTCTGGGGAATGAGCCCCCTCGTTACCCACTGCGCCCCACAACAGACCACAGCAGCCACTCCGTTTCCTCCAGAGCCCATGTTGAAGCCATGGCAGGGGGCTGGGCACCTGGCACTCCCATGGTAACTGTGGCCAGTACAAGGCAGCAGCCCGCTGCCCGCTCAGTTGGTACTGGTGTAGCGGAGCTCAGCGATACCGTCAGGAATGGCGCGGAAGTACTCCAGGCTGGCGCGGTGCACCTTGCAATGGTATTTGCCACAGGTCTTGGCGTACTGCAGGAAATGGGGTGCCCCAGGGAAGAGGACATTATCAGCCAGGATGGTGGCCCCCTCAGCCAGCAGCTGGTGGCTCTCCAGCAGCCGTAGATCCCGCAGGTAGCTGCGTTTCCAGTGATCCATGAAGACCAAGTTGGCATTCATCAGGCCGTGCTTCTCACGCAGGCGGGGTATCACCTCCTCCGAGGGGCCCACGATCAGCTCCACCTGTGCTGCATCACCCTCAGTCACTGGGGCAGGGTGTCAGGGTGCCCACCCACCACCCTGCTTCACAGGGTGGTGAGAGGTCCACATGGCACAGGATCTTTCTCTTCCCACATACACTACCCAGCAGGTGCCGCAATCCCTGCCGCAGCAGCAAAGGACCCCACCCACCTCCTCCCTGGTTTCACATGCAGAGCGGAGCTTTATCCCAGTGTCCGGGTGCTCACCATCTGCTCGCTGAAGCCGGCCAGGCGGATGACCTTCTCGGCCACGGCAGCGTGTCGGGGGTCACCCTCGATGGTGTAGAGGCGGGCGCCTGGGGGCAGCCCCTGTGCCAGCAGCACCGTGCCGTAGCCACAGTACGTGCCCAGCTCCAGCACCCTCAGTGGTGCCCGCTCCAACAGCACCCGCTCCACGATCCGCCCTGACATGGCACGTGCCTCTCAGCACCCACCCATCTGTGCCACCCCAGCCCTGGGCAGGGCAAAGGTGCCAGGCAGTTCCCAGTACCCAGAGGGATGGAGGAGAGCCATGCCAAAAATGCCACAGCCAGGTCAATGATGCCATAGCCATACCGACAGTGCCAGGCTGTGCTGGCAGTGCAATGGCCATGTCACCGGTGCCACAGTCATGCCAACAATACTATGGCTATATCAACAATGCCACTGCCATGCTGATAGTGGTGAGATCACACCAACACTATCACAGCCATGTCAGTGGTGTCACGGCTATGCCAGTCGTGCCATGGCCATGCCAGTGGTGCTGTGGGCATGCTGGCAGTGTCACGGCCGTGTCAGTGATGCAATGGCCACGCCCACTGCCATGCCCTGTGTGGTGTGGACAAGCAAGGGTGGCACTCACCTTTGTCAGGCCCCACACAGCTGAGGTGCTCACAGTGGTAGCACCACTGATCGAAGGTCTGGAGGATGTGGTGGGGGTCCCCAGGGATGGCATGGGCCAGCAGGTATTGGAAGGCACGCTGCTCCCGCGAGGTGCCAGTGAGCCGGTCTCGCAGCCAGGCCACCAGCACTGCCCGGTACAGTAGCATCAGGTAGTGCCGGTACCGGATCAGCAGGGTGACAATGAAGGGGAGGAAGGCCAGGGCAATCGCTGGAGACACCATCACAAGGGAATGAGGCTGTGCTTTTTGCACAGTTGCTGAGTTGACTTTGTTAGTTTCCTACTTATCTTGGGAGTTCTGCCAAATGGGAAGTTCCGCACCCTTTGTGTCCACTATCAGTAGCATAACCTTGGCCAGGCTTTGAAAATCTCCCCTGTGCAGAGATCATTGAAGCATTGTGAGCCCTTAAACCGTAATGAGGCAAATCTATCCCTTCACAGGGGTTGCTGTGGTATGAGTGGGAGCTGTGGGGCACAGGGTGCCAGCCTCACAGCTCCCACTCATGCCACGAGTTGGATGTGCTGTGCACCCCCTGGAAGTACCTCTCCCTGGGCTCCAGTGCTGCTGGGCCTGCAGGGCTGGGGCACCCCAGGATGCTGTGGAGATCTCTGTGTCAGGGCTGGGGAGTGCTGGGGACCCATCTGCCAGGGTCCAGATATTGGGGTTGGCAGGGCCGGCATTACAGGGAATTGTGCTGCTGTGAGGGGCCTTGTTCAGCACAACCCCTGGCACCCCCCTTGGTCCAGCTTTGCTGCTCCTATCCCCCATATTCTATACCTCACACCCTGCTCCCCACACCCTGAGCTGTTGGGGTGCCCAGCCACAGCAACAGGATAGGGCAATGGGGGTGGCACATACCTGTCCCCACACTCCAGGCAGACAGAGGCAGGCAGTCCTGTGTGGAGCCCTGCTGCCACTCAATTATTGATGGTATCACCACAGCTGCAGCTGCTATCGGAGCTCCGGTTACCAGCTCCGTGGGGCTGGCTGGAGACGGGGCCAGGCTGGGGCTGGGAGGTGCTCCTGGGCTGCATAAAGGGGCCTGGGGCTGGGGTGCTGATACTGGAGCTGGGGCGCTGATACTGGGGCCTGGGGTACCAGTAGCATGGCTGGGGTCCCAGTACTGTTGTGTAGTACTAGGAGCTGTGGTCCTGGTACTGGAGCTGGAGTCCTGTCACTGTGCACCGAGAATACTGGGTACTGGAAACACTGGGCAACAGGACCACGGGCAGCCGGAAGCACTGGCACTGGGAGGACTGGGAGCCCTAATCAGTGGACACTCGGGACACTGTGGGCCCAGGGACCATGGGGGCATTGGGAGCACGCGGGGTGTAGAGGGCTGGGGCACTGGGATCTGTTGTGGCTTAGGAATGGTACTCCCCTGTTCAGTGCCCCCACTGAGACCCTCCAAACCATGCCCATTCTCCTGCTCCCCTGTTTTCTTTCCCCCTTCTCACAGCGGCAGGATGGAGAGGAGGCACAAAAGGTAAAGATCTCAGGCTAAGATTAGAACAATTTACTGGCTATAAGAAAATGAACAGTAACAGCAACAATATTCATGACAAGGGGTACAAGTAACAGCAACAATATTCATGACAAGGGGTACACATGGAAGACCCCCTTCTGACAACAGACGACACCAGACAGCTCCCTCTGCCAATTTACTGGACAGTGAGTTGGCGTATGACAATGCAATGCTCTGTACAAACTCGTGCCACAAGGACTGTGTACATTGGACATCTGGGCCTAAAGGGGACTTTGTTATTCAAATCTCTATAGCAGACTCAACCTCCAGCACCATTAATTCTCTCCAAGATACTGGGTACCTTGCTCCGTGGTGTTCCACATGCCTCAATGCACCACTTGATCATCCTTGAGAGAATGCCTTTCCCTAAGGCTTGACTGGAGTTGCCTTCAGAGCCTGAGAGTTTTTGTCCTCTTCCCGATGCCCTTGTCAATGTTCACATCCCAGGACAAGGATCCCAGCTGCTTGGCTTCACTACCATCCCGTTCCAGATGGTGGGCCAGGATATCCCAGCACTGGAGTAGCCAGGTCACCAGGGGCTCACCTAACTGGCAGCTGGAACCTTTTTACACATCTTACAGCTCACCTGGGGACATGGACCAGGCGATTTTCTCTGGCCCTGCCTCCTCCTCCTGTTCTGAGGGCCTCCTCCTCCTCCTCTGTTCTGATGCTTTGCCATCCCTCACTAACTGAACTGATTTTGTCTTGGGTTCCTTCTTCCCTGCAGGGGCGACTGCTCCCAGCAGGGGCTGTTCCCCTGGCTCAGCTGCAGCTGGCGTGGCCATGGTGCCTGTTGCTCTGTTTCCTCCTCCTCCCCTGAGGGTGCTGCCCACTGAGCACCAGTGTCCCGTAAAGAGCAGCCAGGGCCCAACACACTGCAGGAAGTTGCTCATCTCTGGAGCTGACACAGCATCTCCTTGCAAATATTCCGTCACTTTATCAGAGTCCTCTAGTTGTTCAGGGGTGAACTCTCCAACCAGCGGAGCAGAGAATTTCTCAAAAAATTGGCCAATTTTCTCACACATTCCACGCCACTCATGGCTATTCTCCCTGGGGACAGGTCTCTGAATGGCCTTCTTGGAAACCTCAGTTCTGCCTCCAAACGTGACTCTAAACACAGTGTGGACTGCACTGAGACATACCAACAAGAACATGCTCTCCTTACCATCCAAAGGCAATTAAAAATTCTCAAAAGCTGTTGTAACAGGCCCGAAGGAGGAAAAGGGGGGAAAAATGGAGAAAATCATCCTTCCCCTGTTCCCCCCACAGACTCGGTATGGTCATTAATGGACTCCCAAAGGTAGTGCTGGAGAAAGGGCAGGAGAGCAGCACTGAATACACATCGCAGAGTACCCTCATTGCCCTCGATGTTATCGTGTCATAAACTCACCTCCCACAGCACAGCAACAAAGAAATGCCGATCCTTGTCCCTGCTCCGTAAAAGGTCACCCCGAGAAGCGCATACAGGAATACAGGAACAGAGCCAGGGTTGGGTACCATACCCACAGGAACAGACAAAGCACCATGGTGACCAGTGGCTCTGGACCTAATACAGCAAATGCTGAGATCAAATTTGATTCCAAGCCACTCTATTATTACCTCAACCCTTAGTGCCCCATGCTGGGTGACAAACAAGGACAGGAACCAAGCCCAACCCATCCGCTTGCCCACTCCCCCATCAGAAAGATGAGGGAGAGAATTGGACTGGTAAAAGCTGGAAATCTCATGGGTTGAGATTAATACAGATTAATAGGGAAAGCAAAGACCACACACACAAGCAAAGCAAAGCAAGGAATTAAGCCATCACTTCGCATGGGCAAGCAGGTGTTCAGCTATTCCAGGAGAGCAGGGCCCCATCACATGTTACAGTTATTTGGGACAACAAACACCATCACTCCAGACATCCCCCTCTTCCCCATTCTTTCCCCACTTTATATTCTGAGCACTAGAAGACCTAGGAACACGGGGGCACTGGGAACACCAGGACCCCCGGGAGCACCGTCTGAGCGCGGGAGCGCGCTCGGGACTCACCGGGAGCGCGCGGGGGGGGCGGTGCCTGGCAGCAGACACGTGACCACGCCCGCAAGGCTGCGTGACGTAGCCCACGTGCTGGCATGGTTCCGTCCCACGTGACACCACCGCGCGCGCCCCGGCGGCGGGCGCGGCCCTGCGCGCGCGCTCGCGCGTGTGCGTGTCCGTGTGTTCCCCGCCGCTCACGTGACCGGCGTGACTCGGCGCTCACGTGACCGCGCGGCGGGGCCGTGCCGCAGCTGGGGCCGCGCTCGCCATGGGCTGCTGCTACAGCAACGAGGCCGAGGCCTCCGACCAGGTGGGCCTGGCGCCGGGGGTGGCACCGGGAGGGACGCTCGGCCCTACTCCCGGGGCTTCCCGGTTGCGGGGGGGCAGGCAGCGCGCGTCCTCGGCGGGGCCCGGCCCTTCCCCGCTCCCGGGCAGTCTCTGAGCGCTGCTCCCGCCTGTCGCCGCCTTCGTGTCACTCGTTCCTCGCGTGTCTCGCCCCGCCTCGTGTGTCCCCCCCGTGCCGCGGGGGCTCGGGGGTCGTGCCAGACCCTCCCGCTGCCGGTGTACGTCCAAGGCCTCAAACGGCACCGGCGGGAGCAGCGCCAGCTTTTCCTTCTTGGGACAGCGTGACTGCCACGCAGCTCAGGGGCCGGGGCAGAACTGGGGCTGTCGCCTGTCCCGCGAAACTTAATCCCCGGGTGCGGCGAGAGCTAGGCTGTGACAGCCCGTCCCAGGGGGAGCCCAGCCGGCTTGCACTTGTGTCGTGAGAAAGGAAGGAGAAGCGCCTGGGCTAGAGTATCGCAGCAGCATTTCCCAGCAGGACGAACGGGAGAGGAAGCTTCTGGCCAGGGAAGAGCTGGAGATGCCACTGACAGCGTGTGTGGAGAACTGGTTGCACTCCCAGCTCACCGTGGGTCACAGGCTGAGCATCCTTTCAGGGCAAGACAGACATAGAAGGACATTCCCTTCTCTGGACATTGAGCATGTCCAGAGAAGGGAATGGAGCTGGAGGAGGGGCTGGAGCACTAGGAGTTGGCTGAGGGAGCCGAGGGGGCTCAGCCTCCTAGGAGGCTCAGGAATTACCTTCTCACCCTCTACAACTCCCTGACACAGGAGGGTGGAGCCAGGTGGAAGTCTGTCTCTGCTCCCAGGGAACAAGCAACAGGACAGGAGGAAAGGGCCTCTGGTTGTGATATAGAAGGTTTAGGTTAGATATTGGGGAAAATTTCCCTAAAAGTTGTACAGCTGTGACATAGGCTGACTAGAACAGTGTTGGAGTCCCCAATCCTGGTGGGATTTAAAAGCGGTGTAGACTTACACTGGGGTGCACAGGGAGCCCTCCTGGCTGGTGAGGGAAGGGTGAGACTTGCCTTATCCCGTGGGGTTAGTGCTGCTGGTGTGGGGAAGCCAGGGCTGATTTTCCTCTTGCCTTTCACTCAGGAGGAGGAGACAAAGCGGCTGCTGGAGCCGGCAGCCAGCCCGCCCAGCAAGGTGCTGAACGGAGCGGAGCAGAGCTACCACAACCTCCCGTCAGCACGCACCGATGAGCAGGTCATGCTGTCCTCCATCCTTGCCAAAACAGCCATGTAAGCCTCAGGCCGTGCCCATGGGGCAGGCAGCACGCCTCGGGGACCAGCGGTGACCCTGGGTGAGGCACGCAGCTGGGGGGCTGCCTGGCTGAGGGCCCCGGTGATCAGCCATATGTGCTGAGGGGAAGGGAGGAGCTGTGGCAGATCCCCCACGTCCCTCTGTCCTCAGACAGCCCTGTCCCTCAGCTTTGAGCCCCATGAGGACACAGAGACAAGACCCCAGATGTGAGGTAACCCCTCAGCTGCTGGGCTGAAAGTAGGGACAGGGTTTGTATAAGAAAGTGAGTCCCTGGGGATGTGGAGAGGGTGGCTGGAGGGGCAGCAGCACTGGATCCCCTGTTGAGGAGGCTTTTCCTCAAGTGTGCAGGGGCAATGTAGGGAGAGGGCTGTGTCCAACCTGGCTGGGAGAGCTTTGGGATGCTCATGGGCCCTTCTGCTCCTCTGCCTGACATTGGAGAGCTAGAGGCCACTGGTGTGTGTCCAGCATGCAGGGCCACAGCAGCTCTGAGCACTGCTTTGCTGTGGGGTGCACACAGTGGGGCTGTGGCAGGGCCCTGAGCAAGCGCCCAGGTCCTCTGTGAGCCCAGGGCCTGGTACAGGGGCTCTCAGGATATCTGCCAAGGACATTGTCCTCCCAATCGTTCCTTTTTTCTCCAGGTAGCTGCATGCCAAGCTCCCCAGAGCCCAGACCAGCCCCCAGCTTCCTGCAGCCTCTGCCTGCCTCCCTCTGCCCCAGGGCAGCTGTGGGCAAACAGTCCTTGGCGTTTCCTTCCTGGTGAACAGCCAGTCCAGCCTGGCGCACTTATGGCCAGCTGGCAGCATTCATTGGGCGAGTTTGGCCTTGAGATGTTTGTTTTGGGGTGCTGGTCTGGTGGGTGCTGGATTTTGTCTGCCTTGGTCAGAGGATGCTCTGAGATAGGGAGGGAACTGAGGGGGAGTAATGATCCTCCAGTGGGAGCCACTGTCTCGTGTCTCTGCAGCAACATCATTGACGTGTCGGCAGCAGATTCCCAGGGCATGGAGCAGCATGAGTACATGGACAGAGCCAGGCAGTACAGGTGGGACCTGCACTTCTCCCCTGGGGTGCCCGCAGTCCTTCACAGCTGTGTGTGTCCCTGGGCAGGTCCCTGGGGTTTTGGCCTGGGGGAGTGAACTCGGCATGTCGAAGGGCTGCCTCATCTCAGAGAGCAGGGTGCAGCCTGCTCAGGGAGAGCTGATGGCAGTGCAGGCAGCAGAGCCCAGGACAAAGGGCTCCTGTGCTCACCCAGCCCTTGGGGCAGATGGTGGGGGGCTGGATGTGGCTGCTTCTGCTTGAAAGGTGCCTGTGTGGGAGAGCTGGAAGCTCCCTCATCCTCCTGGTGCAGGGAGTGGAGAGGGCTGGATGCTGGGAGTGCAGCACCACTGCTCTCCCTTTCTCCCCCTGGGGGTTCTGGGTGCCTGGGGGTGCAGCACCCATCTTCTGGATGTCCCCATGTCTTGGCATGGCACTGATGTTCGCTGCTCTTCCCTGACAGCACACGCCTGGCTATGCTCAGCAACAACCTGACGCACTGGAAGAAGCTCCCACTGCTGCCATCTCTGACTAATCAACCACACCAAGTGCTCGCCAGCGACCCTGTTCCCTTTGCAGACCTGCAGCAGGTGAGCAGGGCTGGGCTGAGCCCTGAGCCCTTGCCATGCTCTCCAGAGACACATCCTCATCCTGGAGGAGCAGTAATGCCCAGAGCCCTGACATGACTTTTTAGAGCTGAAGGCAAAGACTAGGTCAGGTTTAAGGCCTTGTTAGAGGTGGGAACAAAGCCCAGGATGGGCTTTGGGACTCCTTAGGGCTGGAGGCCAACCTTCTGCAACAGTTTCTTTGGGATAACTGCGGGTTTCAGTAGTCACCTGTGACACAGCCATGTCTTCGTGCCTGCAGGTGTCCCGGATAGCTGCCTATGCCTTCAGTGCACTCTCACAGATCCGTGTCGACGCCAAAGAAGAACTGGTTGTACAGTTTGGCATCCCCTGAATCTGCCCCTACCACTACTGCTTCATTGCTTTGGGTTGTTTTTGGTTTTTTCCCCATTTTTTTCTCTTTATATCCCTTCCCTCCCCGTGCTGCTGCCACAGAACTTGGACAGATACCCTGTTTCCTACTAAATGCCAAGGCGCCCATCATTGGCACGTCGAGCCCACCTGCATTGCTTGAGGCTTTCTCCTCCTTGTGGGTGGGTGTTTTTGGGGAGGAGGCTGTGTCAGCTGGACGCTGCCTTGCACAGGGACAAGCACAAAGGGAACAGCCGGTGCGAGAAGGCCCTGGTGTGGGTCAGCACCATGTGCCAGGTCACCAGGATGGATGGGCTGGAGCCAGCCAGATGTGATGCTCTGCATGGGGCCTGGTGGCTCCAACACCATCCCTTCTCCTTTTTACATGTTTAGACCTTTATTTTGCTTTTTTTGTTTGCTCATTTGTTTTTTAAAATAATTATTATTTTTTGCCACAGTAGATAAAGCCACGTTCATCCAGTGCCTATTTTCACTGTTCTCTGTCGGACACAGCATGGATGTGATGGGAGAGCCATACTCTGGTGGGGGGTACACACATCTGTCTGACCCCTGTCACCTCTTTGATCATGTCCTGCAGGGCCAAGAGGACAAGGGGACAGGGAATGTATGATGATCCACCTTTAAGGGGAAGGAGGCCCCTGAGATTCCTAAATGCTCAAGGTCGAAAGGAATGTCAAAAGTCAGGGTTTGCAAGTAATCAGAAAGTTTCATTGGTAAATTACACACTTGGCATGGAAATTGCAGGGTACCTTTTCATGGATAGGTTTCCCCAGCCTGAAGATGGATTTCTCATTTTCTATGCAGATTAGTTACCATGTGCAATTTGTTCTTTCAGGTCTTCCTGGAAATGGGTCAGAGGGGTTTAGGGGTCTTTGGTCATCTTAATCCTACCCTATAGTCCATGCCCACTTCCTGCCACTCATCCCTGTGCTTATGCTGTGCTGTCTTGTGCTTATCAGCAGGAACTACAACAAGGATGTTTCTCCACCTTGCCTCCCTCTTCAGCCATATCTTTTTCTTTCTCACGGCGTGTTAATATCAACAGTCCTTGTTTACTGCCAACAGTCCCTGCTTCATTCCACAGCCATCCAGTTATCTGTGTTTGAGACATACACATTAGCTCTCCTATGTTCTGGGAATAGAATTCTCAGTGAGACTTACTTTGGACTGCGGTTTATAGGGTCATTAGAGAGTGGACTTCAGTATGCATTAGCCCTTTATAACTGAGAGCTCAAAAGGTCTCACTTTGGATTGCTGTCTAGAAGGACTCAAGAGAGTGGGCTTTAGTCATAGTAATTTTCCATCCTGGCCACAATTTGAGTTGGTTGAAGGTTCAACAGCAAAAATACTGTTTGACTTGGGTTGTTACTCAGGCAAGAAAAATAAGTTTCCAAGTCTGTTCATTAAAAAACAGATGCTCGATAAACATGCTCGATAAAGATGCTCGATGTTAGTTCCTTGGAACAGATTATATCCAGTAAACTCAAGAGGGGCTTAGTCTGGGTGCTCTTTGTGAAGGCCAAGGCCTAACAAGCATTTCTCAGGTCTTGGTGTGGCCTGGGCAGTGGTAGGGACATGAGCCACCACCATCCAGTCCACGACTAAACTTATCCGGGCCTCTACAGGATGAAATAGGGCTGTGGCCACGGGGACAAGCGCAGGACCCCCCAAGTGAGACGAGGCCCCACTAGTAGGTCTAACAGGTTTGGGGGCTGGTGAGGACTCCTGCCTAGCTGGCACTGCAGGACAGAGTGGGGTGTCTGCATGTGACATACCGCCAGAGTCCCCCACGTGTCCCCTGACTCACTGTGGGCTTCCAGTACTCCGTGTGGCCCCACACAACCCCCTCCACGTGTCACACAACCTCCCTCATGTGTCCTCACCTCTGACTGGGTACTTGAGACCCACACTCCCACACACCCCCGTGTTCCCATCTGTATCACTATACCTTCACGGGTGGGCCCTGCCTGTGTTCCCCTTGGCCCCAGGCAGCCCTATAACCTCCTCCCCCGACACTAGAGCTTCCCTCGCTTAGGCTATTGCATGTGTCCCCCAGGTAGCCCACGGCCCCGCGTGCGTGCCGGTGCCCGGCAGAGCGCCCTCCCCTGCAGTCCGGTGTGAGTGCCGGACCCCGCGATTCGCGGTCCGCCCGCCCGCGTGACGCCCCCGGCCCGGCGGTGCCCAATGGGCAGCAGCGAGGGCGGGCGCTGCCGTTCGAATAAGAGCGGCCGCCGCCGTTCGAGTACGCGCGGCCGTGGTCCGCGCCCTGACGGCTTCGGTGGTGTAGAGGACCGTCAGTACGGGCTGGAGCCCCGGTGACGCTGAAGAAGGACACGATCCCCAGCTACGATCACGGTACGAGGAAAGCTGAAATCACCCGCGGGGCGGGCCCCGGTGGTTCCTCGGCGGGGGCTCAGGGCCGCAGAGCGCGGCTGTGCCAGAGGTGGGCAAGGCGCGGAACCCTCGGGCGGGCGGGGCACGCCTGTGGCATTGCCTCCGTCTCGGGCCAAGCTCAGCTGCGTCCCCGACCCTAAGGACGGGGCGGTCGCGGCTGGAGCGCTGAGGCTTGGGCGTGTGGTTCTTCGTTTCTCGGGGCTTGGCAAAGTCGGAACCTTCGCCAGCGGCAGTCGGCGGCCGCGTTCCTTGCGAGTTCCTCTGCTGCCCCCAGCGCCGGTTTGAAAGAATCTTCTCCTTGTGCCCTTCCTGTGCCGTGCTCGGGGCAGCCCCATCCTGCGGCCCTGATCCTCCTCAGGCAGCCCGGGCGCTGCGGAGATGACTTCCGAGAGTCTCCGGAACAGCAGCGAAGGGTGAGCTTCCCTTCCTCGTCCGAGTCCTCCCTGCTCTAGCTGGTGACCCGTAGGGTCCGGTTCCCGTTGAATCTGTGGCTGCGGGGTGTGTGCGTATCGGGGGTAGTTTTTCAGGGGTCAGCTGGGATGTAACTCCAGTCAGGTTAGAGGGAGGCGTAGTATCGGGAGCCATTCTCTGCCGAGCCCCGGCTTCCCTGAGTTGCGCTGGGGCCGGGAGCGGGTCTGTGCCGGCCCCACCGGCACTCCGTCACTGGGCCTGGGCAGGGTGACGGCAGTGAGCGCGTCCAGGGTCGGACGATTCCGCACCCCACGGCGAGGCGCCGGAGGTTTCTGTGCCGTGCGCCTTTAACGAGCGCGGCCCTGGCGCGGTGACGTGGGGTGGCGTAGGGCCAGGAAGGGGAACCGCCGCCTGCCAGCCCCGCCGAAGAGAAGCTCAACAACTTTTCTTTTGTGCGTGGCCGCTGCCTCCCCGGCCCTTCGCGGCTTGCCGCGCTCATGGCGGATTAACCCCAGCGCGCCGACGACGGCCGCGCGGCCCCGGTAAGGCCCCAACAAAGACTTTCTGCCTCTTCCTTGTTTTGTTTTCCACGGGGGTGGGGGGAGCGAGGCTGGGGCGGCGAAGCTCAGCTCTCCCAGCTCCGCCGCCTCGCCGCAGCGTACGGCTCCGGCCCGGCCCCTCGCCAGCCCCCGACGTGCGGGTCCCCGGGGCCGCGGGTGGCCGCGCCGGGCTCGCCAACATCCGGGCGCTCGGCTCGGCGGCTGCTCTCCCCCTCTGCCCCGCGCCAGCTGAGGGCCCGTCCTTGCCAGGGGCTGTCGTAGGTCGCTCACCCGGCCTGGGTGCTTCCGCAGCCGGACCCCTGGCCTGGGACAGCCCGGGGCCCGCGGGCCGTCCCCCGGCGCGTTGGCACGTCGGGAGCTCCGGAGCGCGGGCTTGCGTAACGCCGTGTTGTGACCGGAGCGGCGGGGGAAGGAGGGGAAGGACAATGCTGCCGCGACCGCCGCCACCGCCGGGACTCGTTCCCCGGTCCCCACCGCCTCCCGGAGCTGCTTTCTTCGGGGATGCAGCTGGAAGGCGCTCACGGCCGCTGGCGGGCTCCCCGACCACTTCCCGCCTGCCATACGAATGACACGTTCTCACGGCGGGTCGTGGCGTTGTCTCAGATGCTCAGGGTGCCCAGTGTCACCAGTGTCACAGCCAGGCTGTGACCGCGGCAGGAGCGGGTAGCCCTTCCCGTCCAGATCTCACACCAGGCACCCGTGTGTTTGCAGACTGGTTCTGGTAAAACCCGGCTCGATGCTGGTGGGACACGGTTCTCTCTGAGGGTCTGCATCCAGTGCTGCACGAGTGCTTTGCCCGGTGCCTTTGGGTGGATTTTTAGGGAGAGGTCTTGGCTGTGCCACCGGGGGGAGGGACAGTAGTTGCTGAGTGACCCAGCCATGGGACAGGGATCTGGGTTTTAGCCAAATTGAGGGAGGACCTGTCCTGCTGAGGATCCCATGCTTCCCAGCTGGACTGACGGCAGTGGGAGCTCTGTAGTCCCCAAAACCACCGTGACTGGTTGAGCACTGCAGATCCCAACCAGGCTCCTGGCCCATCGTGGTGCGGGTGTCCAGGTGCAATACAGGGTGAGGAGCTCCCTCCTCATCTGGGTGACTTTTTGGTTCCCAGCAGTGGCACTGGGAGCAGCCAGTGTGGAGGCAAAGGTCGCTGTGAAGGGGACCTGGCAGTGATCCCAGATCCCGTCAGGGCAGCTCATCCCTGCTCCCATCCAATGCAGCGAAGCCCAGCGAGCTACCTGTGCCCCCAGCACGTGGTTCTTTCACTAGCAGCAATGGGAAGGGGAGCTGGCAGTGCTTCCATGGCTTGGCCACTGCCTTGCTGGGCAAGAAATGTTAGTGACATTTGGAGGCAAGGGAGGGAGGAAGGCACAGCAGGAGAATGAGGAGCCCGAGCAGCAGTTTTCCATTGATCCCTTGTCGGGATCCTAATCTGTGGGAGTGGACCTGGCTGCTGCTCAGCATTGCTCCCCACTCTGAGCCTGTGGGGAAGCAGGAGGATGCTGGCTGCTCCCGCACAGCTGACCAGATGCAGAGACACATCCTTCCTTGGTGGGCACAAATGCCTGGTGCTGGGTGCAAGTAATTTAGTAACATAATTACTATAGTTTACCTTTTTTATCCCCCCTCCCCCTTTGTTGGTGTTTTTAGGTCTGGGAAGGAACCTAATAGACTGGCCACAATGTCTGTTCATGGCACAAGGGTTGCTGCTCTCCTTGCTTGGGTAAGTCCCCCCTCCTTGCTGGAGCCCACTGCATAGGTGGGACATGCTGCTGCCAGCACTGGCAGCTTTGGGGCATGATGCTGGGGCTTGTCACAGGAGGGATTGTGGCTGGGGCAGGTCCTAGGGCAGTCCAGTTCCTGCTGTTCCTGGGCAGGTGGGTGTTTGCAGGAGAAGCCTTGCTCACCCTTCCTGTTGAGCAACCAGAAATGCTGGAATGGCTTGGTCATGGAAACTGCCTGGGAGATGGAGCTGAGCCTGAAGCAGGCAGCAGCTGTACTGCAAAGGGGTTGTTGGATCTGTCTCACAAAGCACTGGTTGTCCAAGTGAAACTCATAGAATGGTTTGGGTTAGAAGGGGCTTTTAAGCTCATTCAACTGGAATGCCCTGCCATGGGCAGGGAGACCTCCCACTAGACCAGCTTGCTCCAAACCACATCCAGCCTAGCCCTGAACACTTCCAGGGATAGGGCAGCCATGGCTTCTCTGGACAACCCTCACAGGGAAAAATTTCTTCCCAATATCCCATCTAACCCTGCCCTCTGTCAGTGGGAAGCCAATCCCTCTTGTTCTGTCACTCCAGGCCTTTATCCAAAGTCCCTTTCCCACTCTTTTGGAGCCCCTTTAGGCACTGGCAGGGGCTCTAAGGTCTCCCTGGAACCTTCTCTTCTCCAGGCTGAACACCTCAGATCTCTCAGCCTCTCCAGGGAAGAGGGGTCCGGCAGTGTGATAAATGGGACCTATGCCAGACTCCCAGAGGTGGAGCTATGGGGACCATGTTCATCTGTTCCCTGGGCAGGGGTGGTTTAAAGGGGTAGTTTTACTTTCACCCCCAGACCAGTGTTGCTGTCCCCTGCCAGGACTGGAGATGGTGAGTGGCACAGCACAGTTTTGTCTTGGTTTCTGCCTTCTGACAGTCCCACCCCATTTCTAGGTGAACAGCACAAAGATTTGTCCTGATCCCCTCAGTGATCTGTCCCAGCTCCAGGACTGTAGTGTCTTCATCAGAATTATCCACAAAATGTGAGTATGGGGAGCTGTGTACACATTTCAAACCACGCAGCTGGGTCTGTGCTGTCCCTGGAGCCTTGGCCTTGGCCCCCAGGAGCTAAGAGGCTCCTGTCTTGGGCAGGGTGGGAGTGGGGCTCTTGGGGTATTTACTCCTCCTCTGGCATATGAGATGGTGGGATCTCTTCTCATCTGTGCCACTGCACAGCTGGGGTCTGCTTGCAGAGCTGTTGGGTCCCACAGAGCTGCCCAGGGAATGTTTTGGTCAGAGTTCCTTAGTCATTTGAGACTTGTTATCACATCTGGCATTTAACATCCGGGTTCACTCCTGGCATTGAAGAAAAGACCTGAGTGCTGCTGCCAGTGGCACAGGGGTTCCTGCAGCCACACAGGAGATTATCCATTTCTCTTTATGCTGCTCTGGTGAGGGAACAGCCCAGCAAGTTTTCCTGAGTGGCAGTCTTGGGATCCTGAGGAAACCTTGTATCTGGAAAGCAGTGTAAAGAATGACAGTTTCTGCCCCATGAAGTGCTTCTGTTGCCTGGAGATGTCAGGCTGCTGCTGAGTATAATGTGGTCAGGATGGAGCCTGTTTGCTCCATCCTGGGACCTGAGGTGGCTGGGCAGGGTTGGGAGGAATGCCTCCTACAGGAATTGTGTTTGTTGCCTGGGAGCAAGGGGCAACTAAAATCTACAGGCCATAATGGGCATCAGAGGTGGGACGAATCCTAGTGGTTAAGGAGCTGGCAAAACAAATTGAGAGGGTGTGAGGCTGCCATGCATTGCTTTCAAACCCTTCCGGTGGGAGGCTCACTGGGAGCCTGTCTACTATAATTACCTCCTGTGTGGGGTAAGGAGAGCCTGCCTGGAGCAGGGATCTGCCTGCGGTGGGTGGGGAGGAAGGAGCTGCCTGCACCGCAGATATATTTAGTCAGACCTGGTTAATCTCCTGGGTCTGTGCTCCAGCTCGGATTAGTAGGGATCCTGGTGGCACATGCTCTCTGAAGAGGCCTGGCCATTGCTTGATAAAGTGGGGTGGCAGCAGGGCAGCTGCCACAGCAGCTGGCTGATCTGAAGAGCTCCCGGTGGCACAAAGGGAAGTCCGTGAGAAGGAGCAAATCCTCACGGCAGCCCCTGTCCCAGGCCAGGTTCCTGCTTTTGACACCTTGGGAGTAAGTGACAGTACTGGTCAAGCATGATTGGTGTGAGTTTTGGGCATGCCATTTCTGAGCTGCAGTTAGGTTCAATAACCCTTGTGAGTCCTTTCCAACTCAGGATATTCCATGAACTGATCGCTGCTCAGGAAGAGTGTAGTCAAAAATAAATGCAAGAGGAAGCTTCAGCCTCCCCAAAATCCAGCAAGAAAAACCCCAGGCTCCATGCACGGACTGGCCCCTGTGGTACTTCCTGGCCAGTGGGGCCACCACAAGCTCCCTGTGCTGTGCTGGATGCCAGGGCTGGCAGGCAGAATAGGAAGCAGTGCCAGGGGGTGTCGGCTGCCCGGCTCCAGCTGCTCTCCCGGCAGGGGAATTCTGAGGGATTCCACTTCTGTGCATCATGTGGTTGGTCCTGGCTCTACTGGCCCTGGTGTGGGGGCAGAAGGCAGAGCAGCGCTCCAGAGCCAGCCCCTGGCTCAGCAAACCCTGCTGCACAAAACTCGGCGTTGGTCTAATCCCTCCAGAAGGGGTTAATGCAAACCCTACACTCTTCCAGCCACGGGAGCAAGGAGGGGGAGTCTGTGCTGGAGCAGCCACTGCCAGAGAGGATCTCCTTCATCCATGGTTTCCTGCAGAGTAAGACCCTTCGTGTGCTGGGGAAAGCGACTGCCCCTGCTCGGTGTCCCTGACCTCTGAGAGTCTGGTCTGCTGGCTGCAGCTTCCCTCTCCACAAAGTGACCCCCTCACCCCACATCAACAGCTTTGTGAGGTGCCAGCAGCTTTCCTGCAGCAGCTGTGGAAGGGGAAACTTCCAGATGGAAATCCTTACCAGAGCCCAGGTTCAGAGCAAAGGAGGTCCTGGGTGTGAAAGGCAGAGTGCCAGTGGCTGCTCTTGTGATACTGTCTGGAGCAGTTTTCCTAGCTGGGCACCTGGAGTAAAGCTCTTCAAATCCCAGCTGAAAACCTTTACCCAAGCAGAAATCCTGGGAGGGGAAATGGGAAGTTTCTCACACTCTTGCTCAGCCTTTCCTGGAGGAAACATATCCTACCTCATATCCCACCCAGAGATGGAGCTCTCTGTTTGTCCTGATGTTGGAGGAGAGATGCCAAGGTGGGGAGGCTGGGATTTAGGGTGGAATTCCAGGGAGGGGAATGAAAGTCGGTCAGAGTTAATGGCCAAGGCTGACCACTGGGATCTCAGCTCTGGAGCCCATCCTGCCCCATGTCCATTCTCCCTGGGGATGCATTACAGTTCCCTCGTGGCCATGAGTGTCACCTCAGGGGAGGCAGTGTGCCCAGTGGCTCCTATGTGACTGGGAATTCCGCTTCATGTTGCAGAGCACTGCCGGCACAAATTGGCTGCAGAAAACCTTGTCTCTGCACAGAAACTCCTGGATGGAGAGGAGCTGGCGCTGGCCAAGGTAACCGTGTGGCATGTTTTAGTCCCAGATGGCACCAATGTGCTTGTGACTGGCCTGGGATTAGTCATGCTTTTCCTGCCTTGCTCAGGTGGCCGTGCTGCTCCTGTATCACACCGCCATGAGTTCCAAGAACTCTGGGGACTGGAAGGAATTTGACTACAAGACCCAGGTAATCCCTCTGGGGTTCCTCCTCTGGATCTGGGGTGCAGGGGAAAGCAGTGGTTCCTTTGGGGGAAAGTGCTTTGAGACTTGCCCTCCTGGGTCTCATTGAAAGATGGTGTGGAGTGGGCACTGTGGTGCTCACTGGTGGTTTTGGGCTATCCAAAGCTTGTGGCAGGCAAGTGTGGGCAGCAGCACAGGCAGGCAGGGAGCTGCCCACCGCCCCACGCCTGCTGTGGTGCTGCCTGTGACCTGCAGCAGAGCCACTAACTCTGCAGCTCTTCCAACACAGGTTGAACTAGCATCAATTGTCAAATTTGTGCTGGATAACGAGGAGTGCCTGAATGAGAATCTGGAGTCTTTTCTGCAGAGGAAAGGTAAGTGCTGGGCCCTGGCTTTTCCTTCTGTTTGTGCTGCTGTAGCTGCCCAGCCATAAAGGCAGCTGCACAGCCCAGATGCGCTCAGCTACAAAACAGTCCCCTGTAAACTCCAAGAGTAGGGCTACATTAGATCTGCTGACTCTTCCCACTCAACAGTACCTCAGCCTTTCCCTGGAGGAGAGGAGCAGGTGGGATGCTGACAGTCTTGTGGGAGCAGAGTTGCTGGGGAAGGACTGTGGAGCAGGAGGGATGGGGATGTAGGGAAGGTTTATGGCTTCCTCAGTTGGCTGTTCCATCCCTACTGGAATTTGCGGTTCCTGTGCCCCTGAGATTTCAGCTGCTCAGCCTCTTAGATACTAAAGATCACAGCCTTCTTCTCCCTTTTTGTTTCCAGCAGAGGCATCCTTGTCCAGTGTGTTCAGCAGCAGCTCTGAGGAGCATTCCCCACTGTTCTCTCTCCCGCACAAGCGAGAGGTGCATTTCCTGGAGCTGCAGAGGATTGCCTCCTTCCCCAGCACCAAGTATGTGCCCTGCCTCCTGGCTGCCAGGGGAAATGAAGGAAGGGAGGAGTGGGTAGGGCAGGTTTTGGGACCCACAGATGTAGCCAGGCTGCACGCTGACTCCCCAGAATGCCCTGTTCTGCCTTGGTGCTCTCCTGCTGCACGTTGCTCGGGCATGATGTGGGGATGGATGATGGAGGTGAGCTTGGGCTTTAGCTCCTTTTAGAACCATGGAGTCGTTCAGGTTGGAAAAGCCCTCTGAGACCATCGAGTCAACTGTGCCCTCGGCACTGCCAAGGCCACCACTAAACCATGTCTCCAAATGGAGGCATTTTTCCATATTTGCCCCTGGAGGCCTCCAATGAAAGACCAGCTTTTATATTACCTCCTTTATTGAAATTGTTTTGTATGTGTGTTGTTTTGTTCCTAGATTTTTAATGCAGCAGTTCCTTGGGGATCTAGGCAGGAGAACCTGCCCCAGAGATGGGAGTAGCAGAGTAGGTCTGGCTGTATGGGGCCTGTGCTGGCTCGGGATAATCCAGCTTGTGTGTGTGTCTCCCTGCAGCCTGCCCAGCACTCCATCTTCGCCCATGGGGGACATCATGCAGACCCCCCAGTTTCAGCTGCGGCGGCTGAAGGAGCAGCTGGCTTTTGAGAGAAAGAAACAGGAGGAGCTGGAGGAGGAGGTGGTGGAGAATCACAAGCTCATCATGGAGAAGGGTCAGTCCAGGACATCCTGGGGCACAGGGAGGGCTCTGTGGGGCAGAGATCTCCCCTTGTTTCTCTGTTTTTCTGTTGTGACCCCACCAAAACTCTGCTCATGCATGGTCCATCCTGCCATGCCACAAGTGAGACTCCAGGTTCCTTCTTCCATCTTGTATTCCCTTATATATACTGGGCAACAAAAGCCATGACTGAAGCAACACCTATGCTGAGCAGCAGCACTGGTAGCCTGGCTCTGATCTCCTGCTGCACAGGGTTTCTGTGCAGAAATGCTGTTGTGGGGGCTTCAGGTGACATGAAAACTTGGTAACAAGCCCTTTCTTGCCCCCTTCCCCAGATGCTCAGATCACCACAATGCAGCAGCGGATTGATCGCTTGGTAAAGCTCAGTGAGAAGCAAACTGAAGACCGGCTGGAGCCCAAAGAAATGGAGGAGCTGAGGGAGAAGAATGAGAGGTAATCCTCCAGGAACATCCACTCCTTCCTCCTAGGTGGGACCTTGTCACTCCCACATCCCCAGACTCTATGTTGTTTGTCTCTTGTCTAGCAGTGCATGAAACAGGGGAGAAAGCAAACCTTCTTGTTCCTCTGCTGCTGGGGAGAAGACACCAGGCACAGAATCAGAAAAGGGTCTGGGTTGAGAAGGGTCAGTCCAGGACATCCTGGGGCGCAGGGAGGGCTCTGTGGGGCAGAGATCTCCCCTTGTTTCTCTGTTTTTCTGTTGTGACCCCACCAAAACTCTGCTCATGCATGGTCCATCCTGCCATGCCACAAGTGAGACTCCAGGTTCCTTCTTCCATCTTGTATTCCCTTATATATACTGGGCAACAAAAGCCATGACTGAAGCAACACCTATGCTGAGCAGCAGCACTGGTAGCCTGGCTCTGATCTCCTGCTGCACAGGGTTTCTGTGCAGAAATGCTGTTGTGGGGGCTTCAGGTGACATGAAAACTTGGTAACAAACCCTTTCTTGCCCCCTTCCCCAGATGCTCAGATCACCACAATGCAGCAGCGGATTGATCGCTTGGTAAAGCTCAGTGAGAAGCAAACTGAAGACCGGCTGGAGCCCAAAGAAATGGAGGAGCTGAGGGAGAAGAATGAGAGGTAATCCTCCAGGAACATCCACTCCTTCCTCCTAGGTGGGACCTTGTCACTCCCACATCCCCAGACTCTATGTTGTTTGTCTCTTGTCTAGCAGTGCATGAAACAGGGGAGAAAGCAAACCTTCTTGTTCCTCTGCTGCTGGGGAGAAGACACCAGGCACAGAATCAGAAAAGGGTCTGGGTTGGAAAGGAACTTAAAGCTCATTCAGCTGGAATGCTCTGCCATGGGCAGGGGCACTTTCCACTAGACCAGGTTGCTCCAAGCCTCCTCCTGCCTGGCCTTGAATACTTGCAGACATGGGGCAGCCACAGCTTCTCTAGACAACCTGTGCCAGGGCTTCACCACCCTCTCAAGGAAGAATTTCTGCTCAATAGCTGATCTAACCCTGTCCTTTGTCAGCGGGAGACTGTCACTGTCGCTCCAGACTCTTGTCCAAAGTCCCTCTCTGGCTGTCTTGGAGCCCCTTTAGGTGCTGGAAGGTGCTCTGTGATGTTCCTAGAGCCTTCTCAACTCCAGGCTGAACACCCCCAGGTTTCTCCCAGTCTGTCTCCAGAGCAGAGGGGCTCCAGCAGCCCTTGGAGCATCTCCTCTGGACTTGCCCCCGCAGCTCCACTTCCTTGTGATACTGAGGACCCCAGAGCCAGAGGCAGCTCTGCAGATGGGGTCCCACCAGAGAGGAGCAGAATCCCCTGCTCCCTTGTTGTCCGCACTGTGGGACCAGCCCATGACACAGCTGTGCTGCCATCATGCTGCCCATGCCCTCAGGGCAGTTATGGCCTGCAGCCCATTTTTATTGCAGTGGGCATGGATCCAGTCCCAAACCATGCAGCCTGTTCTAACAGCCGACTCTTAGCTCAAACCCTGCATGGGAGCAGCTATTCCTGTTATGTGAAAAGGGTGTGCTGACCTTGTGGGTCTCACCTGCCCTAGAAAAGGAGAAGCTTTCAGGGTGATCCTGGAACTCCTGACTCCAGCCCATTTCCCAGGCCTTTACTTTGATCCCATGTACTAGGCTTTGTCACACGCTTGAAATCACCTGTCACACTGGATCCTGGTCTTTGCTCTTTCCCTGTGCCATTGTTTACTCAGGAAGGCTGCCCAACGTCCACTGGAAGTGCCATGTCTTTTTTTGTCCTTTCCTCACTTATTTCCCTTTGCAGGGCCATGGCTGGAGTCCCAAGGCTGCCTCTGCTCTCAGTTTGGAGCAGTTGGGTTGTGCAAAGCACAAACATTGCGTATCTCTACTCTGCTTTGCCACCTATCGCGACCCAGTTTTAGAGCTGGGTTGATGGTAGAGTCACAGCAAGGCATGGAGATCCCTTGGAACCTTTAGTGTCCGTGGCAAAATCCAGCAGCACCGATCCCTGGTGATATCCTTGCCTGCTGCCAGCATGCACCGCCTCCTTAACCATCTCCTTTCCCACAGCCTGGTGGGGCGCCTGCATGAGGCCTTCAGGCAGTGCCAGGACCTGAAGACTGAAAAAGCCCAGATGGACCGAAAAATCAACCAGCTCTCTGAGGAGAATGGGGATCTTTCCTTCAAGGTATGGGGTGCAGTGTCCTCTCCATGTCCCCACAGCCCAGTTGCTTGTGATGGAGCCTGGAAGGAGGATTTGATGGCAGTGCTGGATGCTGGGATGTTTATGGTTCTGCTAATGCAATCTTTGACCCAGTGACCAAGCCTGCCTTGGGCTCTGGATCCTGATCCAAATAAGAACTCTGGTGGGGGAATGGAGGCTGTGTGGAGCTGCCTGCATGTGGTGAACACCCAGAACCCAGGATGCCCATGTGTGCTGCAGCTCTTGGGAATGGGGAGTAGGCAGAGCCCTGAACAGCACAGGCACACTCTGCCTCTCTTCTGGACTGGGTGGATTTTCACTTGGCAGCTGCGGGAGATCGCCAGCAATATGGTCCAGCTGCAACGAGCCCTGAATGAGCTCTCAGAGGAGCACAACACTGCCATGGCACAGTCGCAGGAAAAGCAGCGACAGCTGGAGAAGGAGTTGCATGCAGCCCTGCAGGATAAGGTCAGCGGGCCTGGGGAGTGGTGGGTGCCCCCCTATAGCTCCCCCATAGCCCCCTCCCAGCTGGGGGAGATACCAACTGCAAGCGGGGTGCAGTGGCCAGGAGCCTCCTGCCCATTTTTGCCAGCACACAGGGAGAAGCCGTGTAACTGTCAGCTCCTGTGGGAAGCCTCTCCCTGTTCCTAGATAGGGTTCCCCATGGTGGGACAGGCTGCTGTCCTTGTAGTGGGGAGAGATAAAGCTGCTGGAAAAGCATGGTGTCAGTACTGAGTGGGTGACTGTGCCTCTCCTTGCTTGGTTGGCTCTTCTGTCGTGCACGATGCTCAGTCTCATCTCTGTCCCCAGAAATGCTCAGAAGAGAAAATCGAGATTCTACAGGGAAAGATTTCTGTGCTGGAGGACCAGTTGGCCAAGCTGGAGGAGTGCAGCACCCAGGAGAAGGGAGAAGTCATGGGGGACATTTTGAAGGTACATTGGGGCTCCTGCAGCAAGGGCTTGAATAGTAAACTACTCCAGTTGGAGAGTGCAAATTTTTGGGCTGAATTTGCAAATACTGCTGCCAGGGAGCTGGTGGCTTCCCCAGCCTCCCACAACATTAACTGGTTGTGAAGAGAGCATCTTCTGCTTGGTGAAAAGAAGGTGTTGGGTCCAAGGGAGCAGACTGGCACAAGGCGGAGGGGAAAGCAAGGTGCTCTGGGGGTGTGATGGGAGGGAAGGCAGGCACTGGGTAGCTCCCAGTGGGATGCAGCACATGGGGCTCTGGTGAGCATGTTGGCTACAGCTTGAGTAATAGGGGGTGTATGTTTTGTCCCTGTAGTAGTCTGACCGTGGCTGGGCACCAGGTGCCCACCAAGCTCCGCTATCACTCCCCTTCCCAGCAGGACAGGGGAGAGAAAAATAAGATGGAAAAGAACTAGTAGGTTGAGATAAGGCACTTTACTAAAGGAAAAAAGGAAAAGTGAAAGTTTATGCATGCATAAGCAAAGAGAAAAGCTAATCTCTGCTTCCCATCAGCGAGTGATGTTTAGGCACTTCCTGGGAAGCAGGGCTTCAGCACATGTAGTGGTTGCTCCAGAAGGCAAACACTAAAATAGTGACTGCCCTCCATTCCTCCAACCTCCCTTGGCTTTTATATCTGAGCTGACTTCATATGGTGTGGAATATCCCTTTGGTTAATTTGTGTCAGTTGGCCTCATTGTGCCCACTCCCAGACCCTTGCTGGGGGGGCCGGGGGGGGTGGTGGTGGTGTGTGTTAAGAGTTCATTTTCCCTTGGGAGCTTTCACAGTGCTGTGCTTTGCATGGGTAGCTGGAAAGGTGTTGATAACACACCAGTGTTTTGGGTACTGCTGAGCAGCACTATCTTTCTGTCTCAAGTCAGACCCAATACAGTCTCCCTGCTCTTCTGTTTGCCAGCTGGAGGAGCTGAAGCAGGAAGTTTCCAGCCTCACGGCCAAAGGACTGGAGCTGGAGGAGGAGAAGCGGCAGCTGACCAGCCTTGTCACCAGCCTCCAGAACTCCCTCTCTGAGAGCCACTGGGCCCAAGAGAGACTGAAGCGAGACCTGCCGGCACAGGCTGCCGAGGGCCATGCTGAGCGGCTGGCTGCCCTCAGCGTCCAGCATGAGCAGGCCCTGAGGGAAAGGGACTCTGCCCTGCAGCAGCTCCAGCAGGCCAACACATCCCTTCGCAGCCAGCTGCAGACTGTGGATGAAGAAAAGGCTGCACTGAGCCGCAAGGTCGGTGAACTGGAAGCCCAGATCCTGGAGCTGGGTGCCCAGCAGCAGCAGGGAGTGGCAGCAGAGGCACTGAAAACCCAGCTGCAAGAGCTGGAGGGCAAGCTAAAGGAGAGCCAACAGAGGCTGGCTGAGAGGGAGAAGCTGGCCCGGGAGAACAGCCGCCTGCAGGAGCAGCTGCTCTTCCTGGAGGAATCCCTGCGGAACACTGAGGGTATATTGGAGGATGAGAAGAGACGGGCAGCCGAGTGCCTGGAAGGCAACCTGGCCAGGATTGCTGAGCTGGAGGCAGAGAGACAGCAGCTGGTTCAGGGCCGGGAGCTAGCTCTTCCAGGGCAGGGCGAGGAGCTGGCCACACGCCAGTTGCCAGAGGAGAGCCAGGAGCAGCCCGTGGGAGCCTCTCCCGCTGCCCGAGGGGAGGACAAAGAGTGCATGCATGGTCCATCCTGCCATGCCACAAGTGAGACTCCAGGTTCCTTCTTCCATCTTGTATTCCCTTATATATACTGGGCAACAAAAGCCATGACTGAAGCAACACCTATGCTGAGCAGCAGCACTGGTAGCCTGGCTCTGATCTCCTGCTGCACAGGGTTTCTGTGCAGAAATGCTGTTGTGGGGGCTTCAGGTGACATGAAAACTTGGTAACAAGCCCTTTCTTGCCCCCTTCCCCAGATGCTCAGATCACCACAATGCAGCAGCGGATTGATCGCTTGGTAAAGCTCAGTGAGAAGCAAACTGAAGACCGGCTGGAGCCCAAAGAAATGGAGGAGCTGAGGGAGAAGAATGAGAGGTAATCCTCCAGGAACATCCACTCCTTCCTCCTAGGTGGGACCTTGTCACTCCCACATCCCCAGACTCTATGTTGTTTGTCTCTTGTCTAGCAGTGCATGAAACAGGGGAGAAAGCAAACCTTCTTGTTCCTCTGCTGCTGGGGAGAAGACACCAGGCACAGAATCAGAAAAGGGTCTGGGTTGGAAAGGAACTTAAAGCTCATTCAGCTGGAATGCTCTGCCATGGGCAGGGGCACTTTCCACTAGACCAGGTTGCTCCAAGCCTCCTCCTGCCTGGCCTTGAATACTTGCAGACATGGGGCAGCCACAGCTTCTCTAGACAACCTGTGCCAGGGCTTCACCACCCTCTCAAGGAAGAATTTCTGCTCAATAGCTGATCTAACCCTGTCCTTTGTCAGCGGGAGACTGTCACTGTCGCTCCAGACTCTTGTCCAAAGTCCCTCTCTGGCTGTCTTGGAGCCCCTTTAGGTGCTGGAAGGTGCTCTGTGATGTTCCTAGAGCCTTCTCAACTCCAGGCTGAACACCCCCAGGTTTCTCCCAGTCTGTCTCCAGAGCAGAGGGGCTCCAGCAGCCCTTGGAGCATCTCCTCTGGACTTGCCCCCGCAGCTCCACTTCCTTGTGATACTGAGGACCCCAGAGCCAGAGGCAGCTCTGCAGATGGGGTCCCACCAGAGAGGAGCAGAATCCCCTGCTCCCTTGTTGTCCGCACTGTGGGACCAGCCCATGACACAGCTGTGCTGCCATCATGCTGCCCATGCCCTCAGGGCAGTTATGGCCTGCAGCCCATTTTTATTGCAGTGGGCATGGATCCAGTCCCAAACCATGCAGCCTGTTCTAACAGCCGACTCTTAGCTCAAACCCTGCATGGGAGCAGCTATTCCTGTTATGTGAAAAGGGTGTGCTGACCTTGTGGGTCTCACCTGCCCTAGAAAAGGAGAAGCTTTCAGGGTGATCCTGGAACTCCTGACTCCAGCCCATTTCCCAGGCCTTTACTTTGATCCCATGTACTAGGCTTTGTCACACGCTTGAAATCACCTGTCACACTGGATCCTGGTCTTTGCTCTTTCCCTGTGCCATTGTTTACTCAGGAAGGCTGCCCAACGTCCACTGGAAGTGCCATGTCTTTTTTTGTCCTTTCCTCACTTATTTCCCTTTGCAGGGCCATGGCTGGAGTCCCAAGGCTGCCTCTGCTCTCAGTTTGGAGCAGTTGGGTTGTGCAAAGCACAAACATTGCGTATCTCTACTCTGCTTTGCCACCTATCGCGACCCAGTTTTAGAGCTGGGTTGATGGTAGAGTCACAGCAAGGCATGGAGATCCCTTGGAACCTTTAGTGTCCGTGGCAAAATCCAGCAGCACCGATCCCTGGTGATATCCTTGCCTGCTGCCAGCATGCACCGCCTCCTTAACCATCTCCTTTCCCACAGCCTGGTGGGGCGCCTGCATGAGGCCTTCAGGCAGTGCCAGGACCTGAAGACTGAAAAAGCCCAGATGGACCGAAAAATCAACCAGCTCTCTGAGGAGAATGGGGATCTTTCCTTCAAGGTATGGGGTGCAGTGTCCTCTCCATGTCCCCACAGCCCAGTTGCTTGTGATGGAGCCTGGAAGGAGGATTTGATGGCAGTGCTGGATGCTGGGATGTTTATGGTTCTGCTAATGCAATCTTTGACCCAGTGACCAAGCCTGCCTTGGGCTCTGGATCCTGATCCAAATAAGAACTCTGGTGGGGGAATGGAGGCTGTGTGGAGCTGCCTGCATGTGGTGAACACCCAGAACCCAGGATGCCCATGTGTGCTGCAGCTCTTGGGAATGGGGAGTAGGCAGAGCCCTGAACAGCACAGGCACACTCTGCCTCTCTTCTGGACTGGGTGGATTTTCACTTGGCAGCTGCGGGAGATCGCCAGCAATATGGTCCAGCTGCAACGAGCCCTGAATGAGCTCTCAGAGGAGCACAACACTGCCATGGCACAGTCGCAGGAAAAGCAGCGACAGCTGGAGAAGGAGTTGCATGCAGCCCTGCAGGATAAGGTCAGCGGGCCTGGGGAGTGGTGGGTGCCCCCCTATAGCTCCCCCATAGCCCCCTCCCAGCTGGGGGAGATACCAACTGCAAGCGGGGTGCAGTGGCCAGGAGCCTCCTGCCCATTTTTGCCAGCACACAGGGAGAAGCCGTGTAACTGTCAGCTCCTGTGGGAAGCCTCTCCCTGTTCCTAGATAGGGTTCCCCATGGTGGGACAGGCTGCTGTCCTTGTAGTGGGGAGAGATAAAGCTGCTGGAAAAGCATGGTGTCAGTACTGAGTGGGTGACTGTGCCTCTCCTTGCTTGGTTGGCTCTTCTGTCGTGCACGATGCTCAGTCTCATCTCTGTCCCCAGAAATGCTCAGAAGAGAAAATCGAGATTCTACAGGGAAAGATTTCTGTGCTGGAGGACCAGTTGGCCAAGCTGGAGGAGTGCAGCACCCAGGAGAAGGGAGAAGTCATGGGGGACATTTTGAAGGTACATTGGGGCTCCTGCAGCAAGGGCTTGAATAGTAAACTACTCCAGTTGGAGAGTGCAAATTTTTGGGCTGAATTTGCAAATACTGCTGCCAGGGAGCTGGTGGCTTCCCCAGCCTCCCACAACATTAACTGGTTGTGAAGAGAGCATCTTCTGCTTGGTGAAAAGAAGGTGTTGGGTCCAAGGGAGCAGACTGGCACAAGGCGGAGGGGAAAGCAAGGTGCTCTGGGGGTGTGATGGGAGGGAAGGCAGGCACTGGGTAGCTCCCAGTGGGATGCAGCACATGGGGCTCTGGTGAGCATGTTGGCTACAGCTTGAGTAATAGGGGGTGTATGTTTTGTCCCTGTAGTAGTCTGACCGTGGCTGGGCACCAGGTGCCCACCAAGCTCCGCTATCACTCCCCTTCCCAGCAGGACAGGGGAGAGAAAAATAAGATGGAAAAGAACTAGTAGGTTGAGATAAGGCACTTTACTAAAGGAAAAAAGGAAAAGTGAAAGTTTATGCATGCATAAGCAAAGAGAAAAGCTAATCTCTGCTTCCCATCAGCGAGTGATGTTTAGGCACTTCCTGGGAAGCAGGGCTTCAGCACATGTAGTGGTTGCTCCAGAAGGCAAACACTAAAATAGTGACTGCCCTCCATTCCTCCAACCTCCCTTGGCTTTTATATCTGAGCTGACTTCATATGGTGTGGAATATCCCTTTGGTTAATTTGTGTCAGTTGGCCTCATTGTGCCCACTCCCAGACCCTTGCTGGGGGGGCCGGGGGGGGTGGTGGTGGTGTGTGTTAAGAGTTCATTTTCCCTTGGGAGCTTTCACAGTGCTGTGCTTTGCATGGGTAGCTGGAAAGGTGTTGATAACACACCAGTGTTTTGGGTACTGCTGAGCAGCACTATCTTTCTGTCTCAAGTCAGACCCAATACAGTCTCCCTGCTCTTCTGTTTGCCAGCTGGAGGAGCTGAAGCAGGAAGTTTCCAGCCTCACGGCCAAAGGACTGGAGCTGGAGGAGGAGAAGCGGCAGCTGACCAGCCTTGTCACCAGCCTCCAGAACTCCCTCTCTGAGAGCCACTGGGCCCAAGAGAGACTGAAGCGAGACCTGCCGGCACAGGCTGCCGAGGGCCATGCTGAGCGGCTGGCTGCCCTCAGCGTCCAGCATGAGCAGGCCCTGAGGGAAAGGGACTCTGCCCTGCAGCAGCTCCAGCAGGCCAACACATCCCTTCGCAGCCAGCTGCAGACTGTGGATGAAGAAAAGGCTGCACTGAGCCGCAAGGTCGGTGAACTGGAAGCCCAGATCCTGGAGCTGGGTGCCCAGCAGCAGCAGGGAGTGGCAGCAGAGGCACTGAAAACCCAGCTGCAAGAGCTGGAGGGCAAGCTAAAGGAGAGCCAACAGAGGCTGGCTGAGAGGGAGAAGCTGGCCCGGGAGAACAGCCGCCTGCAGGAGCAGCTGCTCTTCCTGGAGGAATCCCTGCGGAACACTGAGGGTATATTGGAGGATGAGAAGAGACGGGCAGCCGAGTGCCTGGAAGGCAACCTGGCCAGGATTGCTGAGCTGGAGGCAGAGAGACAGCAGCTGGTTCAGGGCCGGGAGCTAGCTCTTCCAGGGCAGGGCGAGGAGCTGGCCACACGCCAGTTGCCAGAGGAGAGCCAGGAGCAGCCCGTGGGAGCCTCTCCCGCTGCCCGAGGGGAGGACAAAGAGTGCAGGCGGCTGAAGGAGGAAATACAGGCGCTGAGCCGAGAGCACAGCCGGACCTGTCAGCAGCTGCAGGCTGAGCAGGAGAAGGTGGAAGCCCAGGCAGAACGGCTGGCTAGCCTCCAGGCTGACTTGTCCAGCACTCAGTCATGGGCAAAGGAGAAGGAGAGTGAGGAGCAGAGGCTGAGGGCTGAGATTTCATCCCTGCAGGAGAAGATGGCTGTGGCAGAGCAAACAGCAGCCCAGCGTGTGGCCAAGCTGGAGGTGGATGCCCAAAGAACTGCTGAGGCACTGGAGGGAGTCTCCCAGCAGCTGTCCCAGGAGAAGCTCAAGTCCAAGGAGTTGGAAGGCACCGTGGATCAGCTGCGGATTGCAGAGAAGGAGCTGGTGTCCCTCCGCTCTGCCATGCAGGAGAAGGAGAGCTGGAAGGAACAAGTGTCCCAGTGTGTCCAGGAGATGGAGAGGAAGAACAGCCTGATCAGCAGCCTGGAGCATGAAGTCTCCATCCTCCATCACCAGGTGACAGAGAAGGAAGGGGAGAGCAAGGAGCTGAAACGCCTGATCCTGGCTGAGTCAGAGAAGAGCAAGAAGCTGGAGGAGAGGCTGCGAGTGCTGCAGACAGAGATGGCCACCGCAGCCTCCCGTGCAGCTGAGAGGTGCTCATTGATGAAGGTGGAGGTGCAGCGGTGCCAGGAAGAGATGGAGAAGCAGCGGATGACCATTGAGGCCCTGAAGAGGGACCGCCATTGCCAGAGCGAGCGGGAGGATGAGCTGCGGCAGGAGGCAAAGGTCTGCCAGGACAAGTGCTTACAGAAGGAGCAGCTCCTGGCTGCTCTGCAGCAGGAGCTCGACAGCACTCGGGCCAAGCATGCCTCCCTAGAAAGCCAGCACCACCAGGACCTGGAGCAGAGAGCAAAAGCTGTGTCCACGCTACAAGCCGAGCTGGCGCAGGCCAAGCTGGAGGTGGCTGAGGTGCCGTCACTGCGGGAGCAGTTGGCAGAAAAGGACCGGGCCATTCAGCAGCTGCAGGCTGATGCAGCAGAGGTGGGGACACAGCTGGCAGGGCTGCAACAGGCCAATGCTCGGCTGGCTGAGGAGAACCAGGGGCTCAGCAAGAGCCGCAGCCAAGGGCAGCGGCAGCTTGAGGCAGAACTGGGCCAGGCCAGGGAGCGGCACATGCAGGAGCTGGAGCAGTTGCGGGCAGCATCTGAGAAGCTGGTGACCAGCAGCAGGCAGGAGGCTAAGGAGGCAGTACAGAAGCTGGAGAACCTGAGTAAGGAGTATGAGAGCAGCAAAGCAGCAGCCTTGGAAGAGAAGAAGAAACTCCTGGAAGAGAGGAAGAAACTCCTGGAAGAGAAGCAGAGACTGACAAGTCAGGTAGGGGTTCCACTCCCAGCAGGAGGGATGTGAATGGGGGAGCCCTCCTGGAAAAGGGATGTGTTCAGCCTTCTGCACACCCCTGAATCCATGTCCTGCCCAGCACAGGGACTAGGGGTGTGGGACACATTTCTAGGTGTGAAAGGGACTGTCACATTCAGGTGCTGGAGTATTTCCAGAGAAGGGCAGCGATGCTGGGGAGTGATCTGGAGCATTAGTCTGATGAGCAGCAGCTAAGGGAGTTGGAAGGGGGGCTGAGCCTAGAGAAAAGGAGGCTGAGGGAGACCGTCTCTCCCCTGAAAGCCTGAAACAGCTCCCTGAAAAGAGGATGCAGCCAGATGGGGGTCTCCCAGGTAACTTGTTCTCCCAAATAACAAGTGGCATGACAACAGAAAATCGTTTCAAGTTGTGCCTGGGGAGGCTTAGGTTGGATATTAGGAAAAAATTCCTTCCCTGAAAGGGTTGTCCAGCCAAGGCACAATCTGCCCACGGCAGTGGTAGAGTCCCTATCCCTGGAGGGATTTAACAGACACGTGGATGTGGATTAGTGGTGGTCTTGGCAGCGCGCTCAGTCTCAGAGGGCTTTTCCAACCTAAATGACTCCATGGTTGTATGAAAAACAGCCTCTGTCCCAGCTGTGCACTCACCTCTGCCTTTTGTGCTTGCAGGTGGAGCAGTTGGAGATAATCCAGAAGGACCAAACTAAGCAGGTAACACACACCAAGAGCTGGCTGCTCAGTGACAGTGCACAGCCCTCCTTGTTTGTCACTTCCTGTTGGAGCCACCCTCTCCTCTTGTGAACTGTTCACAGTATGGACCCAGCCATAGGCACTTGGCTCCAAGTCTCTGGGCACATCCAGGGGGTCCCATCCTGCCACCTGCACCCTCACATTGGTGCCTGCAACTTGGTATGGCTTCTTGCACACCCCATGGCAGCACACGCAGCAAGTGGCTGCCAGGAGCATCCAGGGCTCCTCAGTGTAGGACTGGCAGTGCTGTGATGGCTTCTCCCCTCACCTTTAACCAAGGCCCAGCTCTTGGCATAACTGATAGGAACAGCTGTGCTCAGACAGCATGGTCCAGATGTGGCTAGAGCAGCATTGATTTCAGATGTGGTAGGAGTTAGCACTTGGGAAACAATGCTGGAAAAGCCACATTTCCCTGTCCAGTCCCAGCCAGAGCTGTCCAGGACTCTGCAGAGACCTTGTGGCTATGACCAGGGGGCTGAGGGCTCCTCAAGCATCCCCTGGAGCAGGCAGAGCATGGCCAGGCCAGAACTTGCAGCAGCCAGCTACCTATGTCAAAGAGTGCTGGAAGACTTGTGTGACTCCAGATTGCAAGTGCTTGGGCACTGGGAACTTAACACAGGCTTTACTTCCAGCACATGGCTGCTCCTTATGCTTGGGTAGTTCCAGCCAGCCTTGCTGTAAGGATTAACATGGGGTGACTGTCACCTTGCCATGTCCTGGGATCTTCCTTGGCAGTGGGTGGTGCTGAACAGTTGCCCTGTGGCAGGAAATTTCTTTGTTGTGCCCTAGAGCTGGCTAGAGAGGAGGGCTGTGCTCCTCCACAGCAGGATTGTAGTTTTGTGCCTGGAGCTCATCTCATCAAGCCGTGTTCATTCTTCCAGGTGGATGAGCTGAATAAAAAGCTGACTCAGCATGAGAAGGCCACCCGGACCCAGCAGCAGAGAGTTAAAGTAAAGAGGGACCAAAAACCTGGGGGCTGAGTCCTGGAGCTGTTGGTGCTGCCAGGGGGCTCACCTGGGTTGCCTCTAAGCCAGTCTCTTCCCTGCCCACAGGCACTCGAAGGGGAGCTGCAGGCAGCGGTCACAAGCCATCAGGAGAAGATGGCAGAGCTGCAGGTGCAGCTCACCCAGAAGGAGCAGGCAGCTGAGCACTACAAAGGGCAGGTATGCTGGGGGCTAGTATGGCCGTTCTGTGCCTGACACTGCTGGAAAGCTTGACAGGATTCCTCTGCTTTATATTCTAGATGGAGAAGGCAAAAAGTCATTATGATGCCAAGAAGCAGCAGAACCAGGAGCTATCAGAGAAGCTGAAGGCCATGGAGCACCTGCAGAAAGAGAACACGGAGCTTCGGAGCAAATCGGAGAGGCTGGCCAAGGAGCTACAGCAGAGCATCCTGCAGGCCAAGGAGTCTGAGATGAGCTGCAAGAATCTTACCAGCCAGATCCACAGCCTGGAAGCTCAGGTGGGTATGGCATAGTTGAGCTTCACCCTCCTTGTCCTCGCTTCCATCACCACCTCACTTGGAGGATAGATCCATCCATTCCTCCCTGCTTCCCATTCAGGTGGAGGTTTCCAAACGGCAGGTGCAGGAACTCGGAAAGTTCCAGGTGATGACTGCCACAGTAAAGGTACCATTGACAAGAGGGCAGGGTTAGATGGGATATTGGGAAGAAATTCTTCCCTGTGAGGTTGGTGAGGCCCTTGCACAGGCTGCCCAGAGAAGCTGTGGCTGCCCCATGCCTGGAAGTGTTCAAGGCCAGATTGGATGCAGCTTAGAGCAACCAGATCTAGTAGAAGGTATCCCAGCCAAGGGAAGGAGGTGAGCTTTAAGGTCCATTCAACCTAAACCCATCTGTGGATTTTTCTCTCCCAGAAACAGGCAGAGTCTGAGGAACTGGTCTGCATCAAGAACATCCCATTGGCTCAGTCCACAAAAACATCTTCCCCTGCTAAGGGCCGCCTGCACTCAGGTGCCTCCACCCGTTCCCTCACCAGCTTCCGCTCCCAGGAAACTCTTGAAAAGCTGGAAGCCTCCTCTGCAGAGACGACCCCTGGGACTTCAGGCCTCCCTGGGTACCGACCAGCCACCCGTAGCTCCCTGCGCTTGCAGCAGACCAGCAGCTCCAGCCTCAGTGTGTGTGGGCAGGGTAGGCACTTGAACTGCTGACTGTGGGGTTCTGCCCTGGCTTGGGGGAGTCAGGTCTTACCTGGGAGCCTCCTCATCCTTCCTTGCTTCGGATTTAGGCCAGAGCACCATGAAGCTGGGCATGTGCCAAGATGAGCCGGAGCAACTGGATGACTGGAACCGCCTTGCAGAGCTGCAGCGGAGGAACCAGGCCTGCCCCCCCCACCTGAAGACCAGCTACCCCATAGAGAGCATGGTAAGGGGCGGGAGGGGGAGGTCAGGCAGCGCTTTGCCCATATCTGGAGTTTGGGAGGGGGTCTGGCAATGGACAATGCCCTTCAGCAACATCCCCTCCCCAGCCCTCCACCTCCTCTGGAACCATCACGGATGAGGATGTGAAGATGGGGGACCCAGAAGAGACGCTGCAACGTGGCAGCGGGCAGCCCTCTCAGGTCATCTCCACCGGCAGCCAGAGCAGCACCCAGACCCCCAGCAGCATCACTACCCGGCAGAGGAAGCGCCTTTTGGAGGAGACCCACCAGAGCCCTGACACCCCCCTGGTGAGCTCAGTCCCCCATCACAGCACCCTGCTGGGAACAAGAGGTGTTCCACATTTTGAGGGAGCTGCTGTGGCCCTGTGAGTAACACCCCCATTTGCCACATGTTCCCACTGATCCTGGATTCCAGTGCCCAGTATTCCCAGCATCCAGTGGTGTGTCTAGTATTTGGGATGCTCCCAGTGCTGGCAAGGAGGCCATTCCAGAGGCAAAGAGCTGAGCCTTCTGCCTTCCTTGGGCACTGCTACCCTCAATCACATCCCCTCCCTGCAACCCCACAGTTCCCTCATTGCTGCCAGCCCCACAGCAGGCTGAGCCTCAGATGGCAGTACTAGCTGTTCCCCTTCTTTTCCAGTCCAAGAAGCGATCCAGGTGCCCACTGCCCCAGACCACCCATGACCGCAGTGCACAGAGTGGCTTCCAAGTCAGTCAAGACAGTGAGCAGCCAGGCCCAGCCACACCAGTAAGCTTCAGAGGGAAAAAGAGGGATCAGGAAGGACCCCTCTGTCCTGTCCCACCCTGAGCTAATGGTCCTGCTCCTCTTCTGCAGGCTCAGAGACGCCAGTCGGTGGCTTTCAGCATCAACAACCCCAGGGTGCTGGGGAGGCGCCTGCTGCGTCGGGCAGTGGCCCAGAGGAGCACTCCCACATCCTCCAGCGGCACCCGCCATTCATCCCGCATCGCCACCGCCAAGTCCCCAAAGGGCAAGGTAGGTACTGCCTGACCCTCTGGGCACACTTCTGAGCTCATGCTCACCCCAGTGCCCCCAGCCTGCCTTGGGTTCATACAGGCCATGGGGAAAAGGGGGACAGTCCTGCTGTCCCTGGGGTGCTATGGCAACAGCAGGTCCCAGCGTAGGGCTCAGTCATGTTCACGGTCCTTAACCTCCCATCTTCGCTCTGTCCTTTACAGGCCAGTCGCCAGTCGCGCAAGGACAGGCAATCCTGAGGTTTCCCCAGTCCCTGCGTTGCTGGCTCTGCCCTGGACCCCTACCTGCACCCCCTCACCTCTTCCTGTCCCCCCATGGCCCAGGAGCGCTGAGGGTGAACAGGTGGGGCCACCCACACGACTGCCTTGCATATCCCACTGACAACTGTGGGGATGCCCTGGGCATGGCAAGGCCCCCTTGCCCTTCCTGTACCCATTGTCATCCCAAACCCTTCTGGGACCCAAGGCAAGGGGATGCACAGAGGTTGTGGGCTGGAAACACACAGGGGTGCAGAGGAGGGGCTGAGCTGTCCCCAGGGATATTCTGCAGCCCCAGGTACAGGGACAGAGGTGAAACTTAGCATCCCTCACACCACCACCCTTGCTCCCTGTGTGTGGGACCCCCCCCCCACCTGCCCTGTCCTCCTGCTCCTCCCAGGGAAGCTGAGGCAGCATTTTTAAATGTTTCTACTTGTAAATAAAGTGTATTTTTCACCTGATCTGGGGATCCTGGCTTCCTCCTCCTACAGTCCACATGCACTGGAACCCTTACGAGGGCTTGAGAGAAGGGAAAGCATGACCTCCTCCTTGCCCTATCCCTGGACTACACACGGTGTCTCAAGGCAGGATGCTCACCCAAGGAGCCTGCTGTACCACCAAGCAGTCATAGTGCAGATTTCTGTCTTTCTTATTTTTCTCCTTTAACTTACTCCTCTCCAGTAGCAACCGCTGCTATTACAGTGCTTCAAACCCCACCAAACCTGGCCATGGGGTGGGAAACACCTTCTCCATCCTCCATCACCAGCCTTGCCACAGATGTCCGGGGGCTGCAGTGTCTGCCCCTTTGAGTACTGCAGGTTCAGCCCTCAGGGGTGGTGACACAGGGTTTGTCCCCAGCTCTGCTGTCCTCCTGCAGGCAGTGGGGTGAGGACAGGGCCCCATGTGTCTCCCTGCAGTTGCTGGCATGCTGCTCCACCTCTGCCACACCAAAGGGCAGCTGGCAAATGGGGCACGGCACCCAGCCATCAGGGGACAAGGAAGGCCAGGCTACAGCAGGTTCTTCTCCACTCTGGGAGGCATGTGTGGGGAGCAGATTCAGCAGGAAGTGACCTGTGGAAAGGGAAGGTGATATGGTTGTCACAAGCTCACTAGTGTTGGGATGATATGGGGTTTGGACTGACACCCTCCCTGATGGTTCTCATGGCAGCCTGGAAATACACTGTGATGCACCTCCAGTGCCAGGGCACTAGCAGGAGTGATGCGTCCCAGCTGTGGAACTGCCACCACTATCCCCATTTGCTGCTCAGTGTCCCCTGGCTACCAGATGACACCCCTGCCAAGCACCCACCTGAGCAGATGGGGCAGACACCTATCTCCCCATCACTGCTGGTCTGTCCTCTGTCATTCCTCCTGACTTCTCTCTCTTGGGGGCCACAGGCTCAAGCTCTTCCTTTCACCCTGGACATCCTTCAGGTGGCAGCTGGAGCTCTGCAGAGGGGTAACATGCTGGAGGTACCCTATGCCACATTCTGCCAGCCCAAAAGAGTGAAGGGCTGGGCCCAGAATTATCTGGGAAAGACTGAGAGCAGTAAACAGCCAGGGTGAGGGCAGGAGGAAGACAGTGACCCATGGGATTACCTGCCAGCAGGGCTGTGAGCACAGTGCCTGTCCAGCTGCCTGCAGGTACTCAAGGGAGCTGTAGGGACATCCAGTGCAGAGCCTGGGAAAAAGGCAGGAATGACAAACAGAGGACAGTTTGGGTTGGAGGAGATTTTAAAGCTCATCTTGTTCCAAGCCCCTGCCACCATGGGCAGGGACACTTTCCACTAGACCAGGTAGCTCTAAGTCCTATCAAACCTGGCATTGGAACACTTCCAGGGATGGGACAGCCACAGCTGCTCTGGACAACCTGTGCTGGTGTCTTACCACCCTCACAGGGAAGAATTTCTTCATAATATACCATATAACCCTGCCTTCTGTCAATTTGAAGCCACTACCTCTTGTCTTGTCCTCCCAGGCCATTGTCCGTCTCCAGTTATTTTGGAGCCCCTTTAGGCAGTGGAAGGGGCTCCCAATTCTCAGAACCTTCTTGTCTCCAGGTTGAACAGCCCTGGATGTTCCAGCTTGTCTCCACAGTAGAGGGTCTCCAGCCCTCAAGAGCATTTCCACAGCCTCTGGACTCATTCCAGTTGCTCCACACTCTTCTGATGTTGGGGGTCCCAGAGCTGGAGGCAGCTCTGCAGGTGGGCTCTCACCTGAGCAGAGCAGAGGGGCAGAATTCCCCCTTGCCCTGCTGCCCACAGTGGCTGGGAGCCAGCCCAGGACACAGCTGTGCAGATTCACTCACCTACCACTGCAGGAGCTCCCACATCCTTGGCCAGCAGCTTGGGTGACCCCCCAGGGTGCTCGTGCCAGCTCTGGGCCTCAGCACCTGGTTCTGCGCTGTCAACAGCACCATCCAGGCAGAGTGGCTGAGGTGGGCCAGGCTCCAGGCAGCCCCTTCCAGCTTCCACAGGCAGCTCCTCAGTTGCCTCTCCTCCCTGGATCTCCTGGGGATAGGGAGTGTCAGCCGTGCAGGAGGACAAAGCTGGCGGGAGCTGGGGCTCTGGGGTCCAAGGAAGCACCTCAAGGGGCTCCAGGCCACACTGTGCAGGGACAGGATGGGATGGAACATATAAATCAGGCCACGTAAATGCATGATTCAGGAAAGAAAGTCCTGTGAAAGGCAGGGCTGGAGCATTAGGGTCTGTCTGAGTGCTCAGCATCCTCCTATGGGACAAGGAGAGGCCCCAGGCAATCAAGGCAGGCTCCTTGTGCCCACCACTCTGGGCACAGCACCTAGCTCAGCCCAGCAAGCACTTCCTGAGCTTTTCATGGGGCACAAGTGGAGCCCACACATGGAGGAGCCTCCACACATGGAGGAGCAGCCCCTTCCTGCTGCCTCCCCATGGAGAGGGATACATGGAAGTGTGAGAGACACCTACTGTGTGGAGGGGTGGCCGTGGGGGGTCAGGCTCTTACCCCTGTGGTTTGCACAGGCGGATGAAGGAGAGCCCAAAGCAGCTGCATGGACCAAAGGGCTGGCTACAGGTGAGCTGCAGACTGCTGCAGTTCTGGAGACAGGCACACGACTGAACATGCCAAGTTCCTGCGACAAGAGCCAAAGTTTATTGATGGGCACCCCCTTTTATAGGGGCTTCAAAATTCCTGCACTTGAACATTTGATTGGCTGGGGTCTTAACGCCACCCAGCTCACCACCCAGTTAGATATCTGTATTCATGACTGAATGGGATTGGCTGCGCTCCCCTGTTTGAGTTCAAATCCAACTTATCACTGTCTTACCCAGGGACTTGTTTGCTTCTACTCTTTAACGAGCTAGGCTGGTCAAGTTGGGGTCTGTTACAGCCAGTTTTAACTGTGCAGCTTCAGACCAGCTGCAGCTGTCACAGCACGTGGTGCCATGTCTGCCCCACCATCAGCTCTGAGAAATCTGCTGTGGAGAAGAGCAGCTGGGGTGGATGGGGCACAGTACTGACCACTGTCCCAACACCACTCCTATCTCTGCTTGTTGGTCTGTTGCTGTGCCACCCAGGACACCTGGGGGATTATGGGCACAAGAAAGGGCAGGGAAGCAGAGCTGGTACAGCTTTCCTGAGGCCATAAACAACCCTAACCCCTGGTCTACCTGTCCTCTTCTACCTCCTATCAGCCACATACTATCACCAATCCCCCCCCATCAGCTCCATCCCACTACCAGGCCCACAACTCTTCCCTATGCCTTTTTCCTTTGGATCAATCCTTACCTTCCTAAAACATCTGAACCCTGCAGCGATTCTGGTCCAGCTTTGAGTCAGCTGGTGTCATCAGTGTGACAGTGGGCACCAAGGTGAGATAGGGCTGGTCACAGGGCCAGCATCCCACCACAAACTGCAGAAAGGTGCAGCTGTAGTTCCCGGGGGAGCAGCGAGAAGGACGGGGCAAAGGGGTTCAGAGCTGCTGACCCCATTGCGGGGCATGGTCCTGGCTTCTGCATGGGAGTGGGGAACAGGGAAGTATCAACATCAACATAGCCAATGGGACTGGCTCTCTTTAGTCACAGCTCCACGCTCAGCTGCCTGCTGTGATCCTTGGGGCAGCCGTATGCTGTCAGGGCCGTATGCTATCCTCACTCAGCAGGTTCTCTGCTGGGTACTTGGGGTCCTGCACACACAGCAGGGACACAGCATCATGTACCAACCCCTCCCTAAACACCCTCCCCTCCAGCTCTAGCTTGTTCTGGACAAGGGGAGAGACACATAATTCTCTGGTAACCTACAGGAACAACATCCAGTTTTGAGAAAGCAAAAATGATGTGAATCATTGCCCTTCAGCTTAACAAGGTGTGGTAGTTCTGCACCCTGTCATGCCTTGACCCACCTCTTCCAAGACCCAGCAGCTCAGACGGATCACCCCCCACACCCAGCCCCACAGAGGAAACCCCCAGGCACCTGGGAGGAGAAGGACACCATATAGCTGATTTTAACCAAAGCCATTCAGGATCCTTTGGAGACAACACTCTGCCAGAGCATAACTTCCCTTCAGATGCCGCCAGTGCCTGGTGGGCAGAGAGGTGAGTTTGATGAGCTTGGGCATCTCCTGGCTTTGGGACCATTCAGCAGCTCCCCAGTCCCATCCCACCGCCGCGGTGCCCCCCAGACCTGCCCCGCCACCCCTCAGGTTACCGTCCCAGCAGTAACCCCCATATCTAATTCAGTCCCCCAGCTCCCTTCAGCCACTCCTGTGCCCCCAGCTCACCCCACAACGCCCCATTCCCGCCCCTTTCTGCCACCCGGGTACCACCCACATCCAGCCCCAGCCCTACTCTACAGTGCCCTCAAGTCCTTACCCGCAATTCCCTTCAGCTCCACGGCCCGTGTTCCCAGACCCACAAACAACGCCTCAGAACTATTCTGCTATCGCTGCAGCTCCCTCGTCGTTCCCCACTTTCCCAGCCCTATTAAAACGCTGGCTCTGCCCCACAGCCTCTCCACGCTATTCGTCCACCCAGTGCTTCACCCCCCAGTCCCAGCCGCACCGATCTCCCGCCGCCCAAGCCACGGGAACCCCTGATCCCCGCTCCTCACTCCCGCCCCGCCGCTCTCCCGACCGTGCCCCGGGTCGAGTCCGGCCCGGGCCCGCCGCGGTGCCTGACGGGACACACAGCCCGCGGGCAGCGCCGCGCTACGGCCCCCGCGGGCGGAGCTCAGGAGCCGTCTGCCATCTGCGCCCGTTCCGGGACAGCGCGGGGCGGCGGCGGAAAGGGGCGGATGGGGGCAGGGCAGCGGCCCGGCAGCGCTGCCACGGTCGGTACTGCGGTGCGAGGCGGCCGGTGCTGTCGACGGGGGTTACGCGTCCCGCTGCGGGCCTACAAACGGGAGCCAGCCCCTAGCTGTGACAGCTCACCGCTTTTATGCGCCCGAAGTGGCGTGTCTGCCAGCCGTTCCACTCTTCCCCTCTCCTGATTGGTCGTCGGGGCAGCGCCGAGCCCAGCGATTGGCTCAAGGTGCGGCAGCTTGCCCGGTGATTGGCGGACGGCGGCGGAAGAGGCTGGCCAGTAGGGGGGCGGGGCAAGATGGCGGCTGTGCTGGAGGTGGAGGTTGGCGGCCCCGTTGAGCGTGAGGCGGAGGAGGTGTGGGGCTTGGGGCCGGCGGCGGGCGGTTTAGGCGGAACTGGGCAGGGGAGGCCAGGCCCCAGGCGCGGACGGGCTGCTTCAGCGCTGTGGGGTGCTCTGTGAAGGGGAGCCGCAGCGGACGTGGGTCCTGAGGGACGCGGGGTCCGGAAGAACGGGATAGGGATGTTCGCTGAGGGGCTCGGAGGGTCCCTGGAACGGGACGGCGGCGACTCTGGGTCACTCTGAGCTTGTAGACCTTTGGGGAAACTAGGTGTGGGGAGTGTCAGGGTGGGGGAGATCCTTGGTGTAGGAGGACAGGGTCAGGGTGGCCCTGGGAACTTCGGAGGGCCCATGGGATAGGGGACAGTGCGGGCTCGGGGGGCAGGAGCGCAGGGATGGAGGCATAGCTGTTGTTCCCGTGCTGGCTTCTAAATGTTCTTGGGGATGAAAAATTGCAAAACTGGGAAAAAAAAATCTGTCTGGAAAGATGGAATTAGAAGCAGAGTGGGAGCTCTGTCACAGTGTGTGTGCCACTTTCCGGCACTGCTGCCCTGGGCTTTGCAGTGGCTTTTCACCGTCCCCTGTGCTTCATGCTTGGGAGTTTTTTTTCCACTTGTAGAGAACCAGGAAAACTTGGTTCCATCCTGTCTGTGCTGTGGGAGCAGATGCGCAGGGGTCATAAGTTCACTTAGCTTGTATAGTCAGGTAATTTTTTTGTGCCTTTCCTCATGAATTGGTGGTGTGACTTAAATATTGTCAGATGCTGATGGTTGTTTTGGAGAAGATTCCTGGCAGGGCCCAGTTGTGGAGATTCCCTAGTGCATGGCTGAGCTCTGGGAGCTTGTACCTCTGCTCTGTGCCCTGTGTTGCTGCCGGAGAGTGGTGCAGTGGGGTGATGGGAGGATTAAATCCCAGATCAGTCACTCTTGAGTTGCTAATGGTTATATTTTAAGATACTCCTTGGTGACTTTGTATGTAAAAATGTGGAAGATACAAATCTGTGATCCTCAGAAGTGAAATTCCCACTTTTCATTCCATCAGGGCGTGGCAGAGAGGGCACCACAAGGAAGCAGCAAATGAGGAGCTGCATATAGGACTGTGCTTATCCCTGTGATTCCACAAATTGTTGGTGCAAAACCTATCTGCTTGTGCTCTCCTGAGGTCTTGGCAGCTCTTTGGGCAGATCAGTTTGCTGATGAGCCACTCATGGTGGGGACTGAAAGCAGTTTAACATTCCACCAGAATAAAGGCAAGTGTCCCATGGCCCTGGCTCTGCCTGTGCAGGGGCAAAGGTTTAATTTCAGTTATCCAAATGTTTGGTCAGTTGGGAGATTTCCGCTCCCTGCTCCTTGTTCCTGCATCTTATGAGCAGAAAAAATGCAGAATTGAGATTCCAAAATCTCTTCAGACTTTCACTAGAATATGCCTCATCCCACCCTGCCTTGGTTGGACTTACAGCACTGTGGAGATTTATTTTCCCCATATTTCAGGTTATTCCTGGTAGGTGCTGGGAGACAGAGACTGAAGTTGGGGCAATGGGAAAGTGAGATCAAGGCTGTTGGTTGCTCTGGAGCTTTGAACTGAAATCAGCAGCTGCTTATTCTCCATCCTCAAGGCATTCTTCTTGCCTCCTCTGGAGATTTAGAGCATAAGTGGATTACAGTCAGCTCTCAGTGGTGTGTATGTTTGCCCAGAGATCCTCCCAGCTCCCTGGGCTGTGAGGAATGTGTGGCTCCAGCTTTGCTGTTATCCATATAAACAGTTTTTGTGTTTTTCTCAAGGAGGTTATTCTGTGACTGTCCCAGTGGTGAGGATCACAGGTTTGTGGAGGCTTTGGGGCATCAGCTCCTGCAGAAAACCAGGGAGTGGCACAAGGTTCTTCCAAAGGCCATGATGCCATGTCCAAGGAGAGGATTAGACTTTAATCCTAGATATCCAGTTTCTCCTAGTCATCACCTGGAAGAGGCTGAGGTTTTTGAGAGGATCATGAATTACAGAGGAGACAGAGAGAAGAAAAATTGTTCTTAATTCCTTTTCTTTAAAACAAAAAGTTTGTCTGAGAGCTGTAGTTGTTAGCACACTGGGTCCTGTGTTGGTATGGCAGCTGAAGGATGCTGAAACAGGAGTAGGCTGGTGTTGAACACTTGGTAGAGCTGATCTTCAGCTGCTTCAGTCACCCTAAATGTTGTTGTCAAACTCCTCTTGGTAAAGGGAGATTTAGGAGTAGAGGTTCTTCTACCTGGCTGTTGGGGTTTGAAGGAGACCCAAAAGACTCAAAAACTGCACGTTAAAATCAGACAACCCCAAACTAGATGTGGAATGAATGCTTGCTGGCAAGAGCAGGTGCTTCCTTCACCATTCCTGTGCATTTTTAGCTCTAACCCAAAACTTTTGTGCTGAGTGTGCAGATCAAGGAAGGGTTAACTGGAAGGTCTGACTTAGGGTGGCTGCTCTGCCAAGTCCTGTCTGACAGTCATCAGATCCCTCTCAACATCCCTTCTGTCACGTCCTGGCCCCCCTTAATAAAGTTATTTCAGGAGCTTTGAGCTCTGGGGAATCTGGTGAAGCTCAGTCCTTGTACTTGAGAGAAAACTGTGTCCAGAGCCACGGATCCCTGATTGGCTTGGGAGCACAGCTCAGAAGAAGACTGTCTGAGGCAGCAGTGTTTCCACAGGATTTGGAGCTGAGGCATCTTGAATGCATTTACTGGAAGAATTTGGAGATCCAGGGAAGACACCAAGGGAAAGAGGCTGGTAAATATCCCAGTCTCCAAGATGGGACCAACACTGTGGAGTGGCTGCTGGTGTGGAACAAGGGAGTGAGCTGAGCCACCATATAGAAATGAAAATCATTGCTGTGGTTGGAAGGTGCTTGTCAAACGTCTTCATCCAGCAAGGGTGGGGGCAGAGCCTGGGAGGAGTGGGAGTCTCGTGGTGGGAGGCAGTGGGAGCACCCAGGTGACTCTCAGAGCTTGTAGAGGGATTGACCTGTGCTTGAGCCAACAAGCACTAGGGGTTTCTCAGAGTCTCCTGTGTGCAGTGACTAGCAAACATTTTAACATCTCCTTTTTTCCTCTTTGTTTGGAGCAGTTGTTGCTCCAAATTACATTGCAATTACTGAACTGATGGATCTGGGTGTGGCTGCTTTAGGAACAGAGGTACTTAGGGAATTTGGTTGATACAAACACCCTTCTTTGGTGTCAGGTTGTCACCACCTTCCCTTGGCTTCTGATGCAGTTCAGCAAGCTCCAAAAAGGATTTTCATAGCTTTAGATTTTGCATCTAAGTCCTGAAGTGTTTCTTCAGGACTTGATTCTCAAGGGCAGGTTGAGTTTCTTGCAGGTGTTGCTCTGGGGTGAAACTCAGCAGATGTTCCACATCAGGCAGATGGATTGCTGTGGTGTGTTTTTCCCTACCTCCTTGCCCTGGGGTAAAATTAGGTGCCACAGAGAAAATGAGGCAGCTGTGCATCCTCAGCTGAGCCTGGCTGTGATCAGAGCTGCTGCCTGGGAGACACCTGTGTGCTGGTGATGGTGACCAGGCAGGTGAGGTGACTGCTGCACCAGCCTGTGGAGAGCCCCAGCATAAAGGCTGGATCCAAGCCTGTAACCCTGTACCCAGTGGGGTGAGGTGGAGCTCATTCCTGTGTACACATCTCTGGTGTGTGCAGGAAAGAGTGATAACAGTCTGTGCTATGGCTTGCTTCCAGCCTTCATCTCCAATGCCTCAGCAATACTGGAGTGTCTCCAGCACTGTGAGGATTTGTAAACCCCACATGTATGTTTCCAGCACAGATGAATTGATTGATTTAATCTGAGTTTGTGTCTCACCAAGAAAAGGTGATGGGAAGAGCTGTGGGATTCCCTCCCCAGTGCCATAGGTCAGGGTGTGCTGCCTGGTCAGTGGCCCTGGGTGAGGACATGACTGGTGCTGGAGGCTCCTCAGCTGTTAGTTGAAGATATCAAGGGAAGGTTTTGCCCAGACAAACTGTGAAGTCCCCATCCCTGGAGGTGTTCAACAGCAGGTTGGATGGTGCTTGGAGCAACCTGGTCTAGAGGACGTGTCCCCATGGGAGGAGGGTTGGAGTAAAATG